TTGTTTCCCTGGGATTCGAACCCAGGACCTCTCACGCTCAACGCAATACTAGGCAATACGTTTAACCATTTGGCTACAGAGGCGGTAACAAGACCATACTTCTTTATGCTTTAATATAAATAGTTTATTATTTTATATTGGGGACACTGATAGAAGACCGAGTGATCAGTCCACAATATCTCCTGACAATACCACCCAGTCCACATGAATTACGCAAAAATAGATAGTTTATTTTGGCAATATTTACCAAAGCGATGACCCTGATGGTGGCTTGCATCTGCGCAAATAAGAGACTGCGCAATTAATATGGTAAACACAATGATAATATTGAGGTCAGATTAGTGTTTGAGCGAACAAAAGGTGTTATTTTTTCTAGTGATAAGCAAATCGTGGTTTAAAACGTGCGTTTATATTTTTAACTAGCTGTGTCAGCGACTTCGTCCGCGAAAGACAGCTATTTTGGGCATCCTATTTTGTTTTTTTAAACTAAAGCTGTTACCCACGACGTCGGTCGCGTCCCTTCCCGTCGTTCTCGCAAGTTAACCTTAAAATTAAGGGGGTTTAATCTAAGGGGGCTGTTTGCAAAAGTGGAAGCCCAAAATAACTATTATACGCGATCGAAGTCGCTGGCACAGCTTGTGCTTACAATACATCTTGCAAAGTATTTGTTAACAAACGTATTACTCAATTCAATTACCATAGAATTGCTAAATTCGTCTGTTTAAAATGCGTACGAAATTGTTAAGTAGTCAAAACGTGTTGTTATTCTCAACGGCCGTGAAATTTTATCTAATTGTTATTAGAAGTTCTTCCAAAAGTCTATGACTCGAAGTGAGCTGAACCGTAAACTGCTGGCTTGATTGGTAGGGTAGTTGCATTACGCTGTTCGTTGTGAATTCTCGACCTACCTTCGTCATTGATACTTTAATAAGAGAGAGATGACTATATAACATATTTTAAATTAGATAGTGACTTTACTCAGATTTTCGTCTCTTAATCTATTGTCAGACGATTCTAATCTCGAGTTCCGCATATTTACGCACGAGCCCTTATGCTTATATACATAGGCCACACATTTGTGTGATTTGGATCTTACAGGGCCTCTTGATAACGAGCAAGGTCGACCGGTGTGTGAGCCAAAAGTGCTACCTTGTCCGCGTGTGTCTTGATTTAAACAACTTAGTTCTCTAATAACAATGTTCCTTTTTAAATACAGATATTAATTAATTTTAGAAGGTCAAATTACCTTTATTTGTGACCGTTTGAACTTCTCCTTAGTGTAGTGTAGACAAATGATTACATGTGTTGCCTAGCATATTGCGTTAAGCAAGGCCCTGGGTTTAAATCCCAAGGATAACACGTTTCTGTCGGCACATAAGTCTGATCAACTATGTTAGCCTGTAAATGATCACTGAAACGGACACAGAAATGTGTCCGCCCCATGCCCCACGAGGATTAAACGATTTCACTTCGTGCTTGGAGCAAATAGTTACATGACTCTTACATTGATCGCTGTTACAAACAATTAAAGACAAGAGAAGGAAACGAATTTTGTTTTCTCGGGATTCGAACTCACGCCCATTCTAGATAAGAATATAGAAGCTAGGCCTTATTTGCTTATTCGTCCAAGTGTAAAAGCACTATAAGGTGTTACGTCAATCTGAAGAACTTTGGCGGATAGAAGCCATACAATATTTTTCCGGAAGTTAAACAGTTTAGGCAGGACACACAACATACCATTTTGCTCTATCTCTACTACTCGTCCTTGTTCTGATTTATCCATCGCAGCGATGATATAAAGCTTATATAAGTCGTCTACATAACAGTGAAAATCTTTATTCTTAATTGTTATAATTCATTAATTTAAATAAAATATTAATCGAAATTTGTACTACTCGCGTGGACTACGAAATAAAAAACTATGTGGGTAGTTACTTTTTTGTATTGATAAATTTGCATAGATAATATCTTTCATTCAAATTCAATTGCCAATGGTGTTTCAATGTTATTTATTCTATTCAAGTCGTATCAAGGCGATTTGCAAGGTTTTTATGCTATATATAGCGTCGTCCCGCTCTTTCGCTTAAGGTAAATAGAGAAGGTTATATCCCAATGACAGTACTCGAGGAACATTAGGATTAGCGGTTTTGTAACATTTAGTCCGCAATGAGAATGAACTTGTAATAAAATTAATGTCCGCCTGGAGTAAAACGCTATAGGAAATTATGAAAGAAAAAACATTTATAAAATTATTAAGAGGAAATAAACATTTATTTCCGTGTTTGTTTATCGGGGTTCGAAAGACAGGATGTGTTTGCGGCTAGACTAAGGGTGCCCCACGGGGGGCTTTAGACCACCGCAGTGTATGCGTATTCTAGCCCACTTATAGTGTAGTTTGTTTTGTTGGCCGATTTCAAACCATAGCTTATATAGAGTGTAGTCATTGCCACAGATGACAAAGTAATTTTAATCTGTGCAATTACGTAAATGAATTTTTAGGACTTTTAACATGAAGGTTTTTACCAAGTGAAGTTAAGATACTTCATTAGTAGTCCAATGTCTCAAAGTGTTTTTTAGTGTAAACCTTGTGAGAAAATCACGATTTTAAGTGAATTGTGTGTTTACCAAAAATACCAAGTAAGAAAAAATTCACATAGATGAACGTTTGCCCGGATGTGGGAGAAATATAAACTCTTCTGTAACAAAATAGATAAACATCTAGTCTAGTACTTTTAACTTTATATTTTTGTTGATGCGGAGGGAGGCGTAATGACTTTTAAAATTTGATTACAACACAGTTTTCTATGTCAAAGCCATGGACGTGAGCCAGTTTTAAAATTACGACATTCGAGGTAAAAGTCACAAAGACCACCCTAAAAATAGTCTTGGTGTCTATGACCTTAAACAAAACGTAAAAACTAGACATACAAAAAAAAAATTATAAATTTATCACTTGATTGGGAACCGCGATCGACAGAACTGCATTTTTTTTTATTTCATACAAATTTTACAGAGATTAAATAAAACATTTTTAACGGTTTTTAAATAACTTTAACTAAACTAACTTTTGCGTTTTAAACCGACGAAGTGTTTTATTTAAATTAAATAATTATCTTGATGTGTAATTTTAATTGTATAAGTTGTCTTTCCGTCTGTCAGTCTATTTGTACGTAAAGAACCGCGGTTACTAGACAATAAAATTATATATTTCTGTTGCCGCCATATTCATGCAAAATACGACCCTTTGTATATTTTGCTCGATATAAATGGTAAAAACCTTTTTTTACTAAATATGATTTTTGTAACCTCATTGTGAACACACATGTCTCTGACCCATTTATCCATACGGTCCCAACGAGGCGTATAATACTCTAATTGGTTATTTTGGTATGTTAGCAATTTTATATAGTAGACACTCTTTGCGATTGTTATACAAGTAGATATAATAAAAAACATCATACACATTGCAGATATTATTTATACACCTTGATTAATAGTAGACACTTGTATATACTTTTCTATGGCTGTGTATTTATAATTTGAAAACCTTTTGCGCTTTCGTCCTATTTAGACGTTGAACATGCGAAGATAGCAGATTAAAACCTTATCGCGGATTTATACTTAATTTCTTATCTATTTTCATTTCATTGGTTCTTGGCTCGGGCGCAATTTCAATATTTCTACCACCCGTGTATTGTCCACATTTTATTAGAAAATAAAATGATTAGATAGATTCGGAGCCGACAGAAATCGAACCCACTCGTTGATTACCATTCGTTGACACCGGCGTCGCTTGTTCATCGTAACGATATAGGTAAAATTACTACAAGTATTAAATCTCTTAACTACTACTGTATACAGAGTATATGAGACTGCTAGAGGCAGAGTGGCCTAATAACAAAAAACTTAATTTTCAATAAAGATTAAAATAAAAATGCGCAATTAGCTTAGGCGAAATATAATTTGTCCTATTATTTGTGTACGAATTATGTTAACAATTTTCGGTCACTGTGTTCCAGTAGACCATTTTTGACTATAAAATATAATCAGCTAAGTCCTAAAATTGCAGTTAGGCTACTCTGGGATCTAGCGGCCTATTCTGTCCTGGAATGAAATGTATGTGTTAAGTGGTTGGTTTTTTACTAAAATGGTAACCCGGCAAAAAATGGTGGGAAACTAATTACTAATTCCAATTAAGCGGAGCGCGAAGTATATCAATGGTAATTGCAGTATAACTGCTAATTTATGTGCAGCATTTGCTAAACTATCGCTATTGTTGAGTTTCACGTGAGAATGTAAACTTTCACTACGGCCACAGTTTAATACGAACAGTAGTTCAATTCACAGCGATTGCCTCTTGAAATGGTACTAGTCTTCTGGTCGTGTATACAATATACTTAAACATTTATTTACATTGCGGAGAGGTGCAGGACTAGCAAATATAAGTTCCACTCGATGAAAGGAATTAATACCCCAGCCATATAACAACTTAACAAGATGTGTTGTCGACCCATTTATGGCTTTGGATATTCGGAAATCCAGGCTGAAACTGAAACGATGTTTTATGAGCCGAAAGGACTTCGATATTCCCCCGTTTAATATAGTCGAAGTCTTATTTTTCTGAAAACGTAAATGGATGTTGGTCTAATTACTAGCCATACATAGCTACCATTAGATCAACGAGCACATCAAAATTGTAGTAAATTATAATAGTATGTTTTTAGAGCTACTACTTGTAACAAACTGTTGTTAGTCGTTTGCTGTATTGTTTACGCAGCTAAATTTTCTCTATGTGCATTGCTAACCGTTTTCGCAAAAATCTCTCTCTCTTCTCCATTATTCCAACACGATTAGTCGCCTATTGTAAACGTTCAAGAACTAATAAATACATAATTATAATACGTAAATACTTTGCTATGTAGATATGAATAAGTGGTTAAATGCAAAAATTATGGCATATTCGCTATACCTATCTCTCTCTAACACGAGATATCCCGAAGATGCAAGAGAGACGGATAGTATGTAGGTATGCTGATCTGCCAGAATTTACCAGCTCATTGTGTTATATTGTTACGATAAGATGAGATAGTACAGTTTATTGACTGATACTGACGAAACAACATATTGTGATCTAAATATTTTAGCCAATAGCTGTTTAGCTTAAACACAGTTTTTTTCCTATTCGAAATTCATAATTCATTCAAAAAGGACATAGTAAACAAACGCTGTCCTGAGTTTGGGTCCCGCCCGTGTATTTTTCTAATAGATTAAAAACGTTTTCTCAGTTTATATTTGATTTATGTATCTATCCTTTGATTAAAAAAAAAAAACTTAACGGTTTAAAACGCGAAACATATTAGCCATCTTCTACTAGCCGACTTTCGCATGCTTGGAACTAAAGATGAAGGGTATTCCTAATGTCAAAGACAAAATTGCAGTGCGCCACCTTTTTCGCTGTACTAAACTAAGTTAATAAGAAACTAAATAAATAAAAAACAGATAAAAAGACGTCGGTATCAGTCTGTGGATATCTGGATACCCAAAGTCAAATTAGGTAGACAACGCTTGAATCCTGTGCTTGTCAGATTTATTATAAAAAAACACATTTAAAACCGTTACTAATGTTTTATTTAATTGCGGTATTGCCTGCGTAAACAATAGGCAATATTAACTTCATTTACCCTTAAAATAATAAATCACAAACTATTTCCAATATTAAACGCCAGGGTTTCCAGTTTTTTCGGACTCCGAGAAGCCTTACTGCTGCATCAACGTCATTACTGGTATACGTGATCGAGCCGTGATCGAAACAGAAGTGTCGTATAACTTGTTTACAGATGTATTTTTATTCAAGGTCGGGGCTATCGTTGAATTGTTTTTCGCTCGTTACAAATTGGGCGTGGATGTTTGTCGCGGAAAAAAAATATCTTACACTTTATTTAGTATTCAACGATTTACGTTCAATTCTTATAAGTCGCCTCTGTAACCAAATGGTTAAACGTAATGCCTAGCGTTGCGTTAAGCGCCAGACGTCCTGGGTTCGAATCCCAAGGAAACAAAATTCTTTGGCTTGAAATAGTTTTTACTAACGGCATAACAGCGGTTGGCAAAAATTATTTTACATTCCAATCAAACAATTTAAGTTACGATTAGTTCACGACTCTGACGGGCTCTCTTGGGTTCGATCCCCACGGGTTCGGACATTTTTAATATATCTTTTTTGGAACCTGAATATTAAATGGCTGGTAGGAATACCGAATCTCTAACCTTTCGAACCACCGTCCACAGATGAGAAAGCTGTCAAGTTTAATCGCGTTCCGAATATCCAAAACCATAATGATACCAATGCTTGGGTAACCTCGTGGGAATATATGTACAGAATGTCTAAAAATGCATCTTTATTATTATTTTATTTTACTCGTACCGTATAGTACTAGATGAAGACCAGATCATCGTATATGACAAGATAGTAAAAGTTTAGTGACCTTGTCTTTCGCATGAGGTGACAGAATTACGTGATCTGCCGTTACAATTATAACAGAGGAGTAAAGTCCTGTTATTTATTTAATTACGGTTTTTCTCGTCCCAACAATTGTATTAAATAAATTGGTTGAAATTAGTTTTTTTGCTTTTAGGTAATTTAAACTGTGCAGTAACTGTTATAACATATTAATATTTATCACTACAAATTGTTAAGATTTTTTTACATCAATTGGGTATCTATTAAATAAAACACTTTAACGTTTAAAACGCATATATTATTAATTATTTGAAAATATTTTTCTTTTTGGATTTTGAGACGTGGTGGGGTTATTATTGTTAAAAAACACCTATTATTAGTTTATCTATAAGTTTTGAAAATCTTAGACTTTGAACTGTATCAATTGATATTTTGTATACAGACACGATTTATTTTCTGATTATACTTGATAACGGTTTTTCAAACGCTAGATTACAATTTTATTCCACATCATTGTGTTAACTTCTTGATGAACTTTAAATATTATGTAACCATCACTTATTAGTGTAATAAATTCGCTAACATTTATTATCACGAAAATTATCGCTTATCTACCGATCGAGAGTTGACGTAAACAATATAAAAACAAAAACAGAGATTTTGACCTTCAACTTGTACAGTACGCTGCCCACACTTTGGCGTCGCTTTTAGATCTTGCGACACGAACGAAACTTATGACACTGGTTGAGCAATAACTGCTTGGCACGCGCAATTTTCGCATATTCACGTACGCATTTTTACAGGTATTTGTTGTTTAACTGCTACTTTTAGTCCCCGTCAAGAGACCCAGATCGCGACGAACCTCGCGGTTCACGTAAAAATAGTATTAAGGGCGCCAGCCCAGTGTATACTAGCTTGGGTCAAGGGACAGACCGTGGCGTTTTGTTTGATAAGTTTCTAGAGTCGCGTTGTCTCGCTGTCTGTGAGCAGCGCGTACCCGCCCTACAACCAGTGTTCAACCACTGTTGTACGTATCTGACTGGCGATCGAGAGCTAAGGCGGCTGGGCAATTGTCTTTCAACAAGACATTGAACCCGGTAACCTTTATTGGTATCCTAAATCCAGCACCAATCCTCTAAGTTCCTCTCACCTCGGTTTATCTGAACTAAACCTGTCAACGCTGAACCGTGGCCGCACCGGCTACCGTGTGTTGACCCAAGCTCTCTTGTCAGGTACTAGGGCCTCCGCGCCCGGTCGTTACATCCGTCGGGACGTCGAGACGTGGGGGGATCGGTGCGGGTCTTAGACGCTTTGCTTGCTCCTGCAACTGCACTTAGGTGAGTGGATTTTTGTTAACTCGGTAGTGGCGACATCTACAGTGCATTTTTTCTAACTTGGTAAAAGAAAACAAGTATGGCCGTTGTCAAACCATAGAGAACTAGTGGTGACCTTTTATGGAGGGTAGTAGATGACACACTTGACACATGGATAAAGAATTGTCCAAGCGACCTCAATGTACAAAATCACTTATGAGAATCACGTTTTCATGTAAATGTTGCAAACACACATGTTTCATAAAAATGTCAAGTTAGAAAAAATACACTATAGATAATGATTGTACCACAGTGTATAATGGAAATGATGTAATCGGTGCAAACCTGGGCCGATCTTGATCTGACCGTTCCTTGGCGAAGTAAAGGCTGGTCACTCTTTTCTCAGCCCTTCTGTGTAATGCATAATTTTTTAAACTAAAGCTATAATACTTAGTTTTTAAGTTTTTTTATTAAAATAAGTATCTATTCGTATATTCATCTTGGTTAGTAAACAAGTTTTGGTATAATTATTTGTATGAAAAATAAAATAATTTTAAATATTAATCATCTAACATAAAAAAATTGACTGACAAGGTAAGAATTCCTTTTAAGTTATATAGTGCAGCCTGTGTCTAGACAATGTTTTATCTCTGTTGTTACAAAAAAAAAAAAAAAACACCCCCCCCCCCCCCCCCCACACAAAAAAAAAAGGAAGAAAAAAAAAAAAAAAATCCCCCAAAAGGGGGGGGGGGGGGGAGAAAAAAAAAAAAAAAAAAAAAAAAAAAAAAAAAAAAAAAAAAAAAAAAAAAAAAAATTTTTTTTTTTTTTTTTAAAAAAAAAAAAAAAAAAAAAAATATTTTTTAAAAAAAAAAAAAAAAAAAAAAAAAAAAAAAACGAAAAAAAAAAAACCCCCCCCCCCCCCCCCCCCCCCCCCCAAACCCCCCCAACCAACCAAACCCCAAAAAAAAATTTTTTTTTAATTAACTTAAATATTTCGCATTTTAAACCGTTAAAAGTGTTCTATTTAAATTTGTACTGTTCGCATAAACTACAGACAGACCTTCTTGTCATGAGCATATAAAGTTAAAACACAAAATGTATCGTTTTTTGGCGCGTAAGTTATTGCGTAGTCTTAAACGCGAGACACTGAAGATTCGAATCCCGCGAAAACAACATTAGAACAGATCAGCGCGCTATGCCTACAGAAATACGGCATTCAATCGAGCCTCGTGTACTTTTAAAACAATAGCACTTATCTTCACGCTTTCAACGGAAAATCGGGGTAACGACTTTTATTATCGGCCTGTGTCGAATGTTGTTTTCGTATCATTACGTCATAGTCGGGTTCGATGCCCGGAATATGTTCGGATTAACGTTTGAGTGTGTGTTTTGGGAATAATTTTATATTATAAAGAAACTGAGAACGTATACACAAATTCTAGATGTCGTTATACTAAATACTCAATTTGAACCCAGGTGCCGATTCACCCTCAACTCGCAAAGCCCGACAATGTCTCGAGCGGGCGCGGGGCACCCGGGCGCCGAGACGACGGAGCAGCCAAGCGTCTCCACGCCGCGAGATGACCCAACTCAGCTGTACGTGGCGCTCAACGACCTGCTGCAAATGGAGGCCAAATTTCAACCTAGGCTGGCGTTGCCCAGGGACGAACAGGTAAGCAGCACATCTGAAGTTACTTTATTACTCTGGGATTTTGGGTTCCAGAACAGACAGGGCTCCCTCGAAAGCGCCGTAGAGGGCTGGTGGTGTGTTTATTGGTTCTGGTCGGCTATTGTCTCCGAGGAGGTTGTAGTGCAATTTACCACACTCTCCACCTCACTATAGCTCGACGTGGGCGTGCATTAGCATTCACACCATCAGTAAATTGGGTCGAAAACATAAACTTCCGTCGATTGTGCAACATTTGGGTAATCTCATACCGATCCAGGTCAACTGTCTTTCCAGCGGTATTGACAGATCATATGTCGGTGGCCATTCTTTTGCGAAAGATCATCTTCACGTGTCTGTACAGATCCTTTTGGGTCCTAGCCAGCAGTCGCGATCACTTTCCACTACCGCAGTCTTAGTCTCTCAGGTTTTTGTTTGCCTAGAGGGTTTAACAAGGACTTGGGGCTTTTTCATTTTTTGTAAATTTAACGATAACGTCGTAATAGATGCCTTCAACTAAAACAGATTACAATACTGTTTGTAGATTACGCGAGTAGTATACATTTAAATAAAACACTTTAACGGTTTAAAACGCGATATATAAGTTTAACTAATATATGGCGTTTTTAACCGTTAAAGTGTTTTATTTAAACAGATTACAATGATATATTTTTAACTGCCCTGTTGAAATTTTGTTTTAAACTATGAACTATCGTAAATATCGTAAATGTTGAAATTGCCCATCAACAAGTATCGTCTAGTACCAGAAGTAGCGACGCAACATTTGCATAAGACGAAGGATTCGGTAACGTGTACGTTTTGCTAATTGTCTAAAGTGAAAGTTCACGCGTTAAGTAGATTTTTGATAGGCCTAACATATGTGACGTAACGGTCTGTTGTCGTTAGTCGCTAGAAAAGATACAGAAGGTTCAAGGGAATTGATTTTTTAGTTGTATTTGTTGGGCGTTTTTGTTATATAGTTTTCTTGATTTTATTAACTACAAACTCATTGCCAAAATAGGCACTGCAGCAACAGCTGAGTCTTTCCGTCTTTCCACAGCAAAGTAAATGTGCTGTTATTTTGTTGACTTGATACTGTTATAGCCCGTTAATTTTTGTTTTTGATTTAATTTATTCCACACCACACTTTGGTCGTTTAAATTTATTTGAATTTTGCCGAATGATGTCGATTGCCGAGAAATTCATCATCTTCTATTTTATTTTTTAGTGACGGAATCTAAAAGAGATGTTTTGGAGACAAAAAATGGTTGAAAGACAAGTTCGAGTGATCGATCACGGATGCCTAAATATCAGTTCAGATCAAAACACTTGACAAGTTCTAGATTTCTATTAAATCCTCTTTTCTGAAAATCATTTTTCGTGTGTATATGTATGCATGACGTTAATAGATGTATCAATGTCTTACAGAGCGGCGAAGTAACGATCGGCGCACGCGACGGCGCAGCGCACGTCCTTCGCTGTCTGAAGGTGTGGTTCGATCTGCCGCCGGATGTTCTCATCAGCGCTATCAGCCTCTTCGACCGGTGGGTGTCCTGACTATTTATTTGAGTTTCACTTCTGTGCATAGAGACTTATTACTTCTGGAGGTATTTCATTAAAGGCTGGTTTATCAGTTCACAAAACTGCTGGCCAACTGCTCCTCATTTTTGCTCAAGGAAGATGTTAACTTATCCAAGTCTTACTAACTTACGATAACAAAGATATATTTCGTTGTGATTGAGTGAAAGAACTAGATATATACTTTTTGTACTTAAAACTTTGCTAATACTATGTTTGTGTACCACGTAAAATAAATATCTACTTCCGCTCTTGCTTAACATAGTTCACGAGCATATACAGCATCAGTAGGGGGTTCGATTCCCGTCCTCGTCATATGTCACATGTGAATCATAATAATAATTTCATCTTACTTTACATTACAGGTTTCTTACCAAAATGAAGGTTCGCCCCTGTCACGTTCCTTGTATAACCGTTTCGTGTATGAACATCGCGATAGACGAATATGCAGCCATCAACAAACAGGCCAGGAACGTGTCTGTAGAAGAGCTAGGTGAGTCTGAAACATACATACATAGGATACGTATTAGAAATATAATTTGATCAGCCAGTCAGTCAGAAATTACCTGTCTGTAGTTTACGCGAATGTACGTGTTAGTATGAACGTAATTAAACGGTTTAAAACGCAATACATTACAAATTTTGGCTGCTGCAAAGCATCCGAAACGTCGGGCTGTGGTTAAAAATAAATTTTAAACAAGTTTAACAAATATATTTTGCGTTTTAAACCGTTAAACGGTTTAATTAGATTAGAAAAGTTATTCACCATAAAGAAACAGCGTGGTTAATATCCACATACAGGAATGCAACTAATAGTAAAAATCTTTTCAGTATCCGTCTCTCAGTCCGCTTGCACAGCCGGCGATGTGGCTCGAATGTCCCGCGTGATTACCGATAAACTTGCGCTTGCCCAAGGCGGAGCCGCGAATGCGCTGCATTGGGTTCAGATCTTGCGCAGACTGGTCGCTGTAGCCGGACAAGAAATTGGGCTCGACAGACAAGTGTTGGCTGTAAGTTACATCCTTAATGCAAAATTTTGTGGAAATGTATAGTAACACCTTTACGCGAAAATAGCTAGATTGATTTTGGTAAATTATTGTCGCAATGTCTATATATACATCCCTCTTTATTACTTAATGTATGTTTGACGTTTTTAATTCTTTAATAATCTTCACATGGTTAGGCGCTATATAATTTAAAAATCGGTTATAATTTTTATTTTAATTCCGACTCAGCGCAGGACTTGAACAGACACGACATCCACAGCGTTCCTTGCCGTTGCTCTCAACAATTGATCAGCCTACCTATCAATTGGTTAGAGCAACACCAAGGAACTCTGTGGGTGACTGTTCAAATCCTGCCCGATCATGTATGTTTGTTATTATTAAACGTCCAAATTGATCCTCTTTTGACGATTAAGTTGCCACATTTGTTAACACTGCAAATACATCATGTAGTAATAGAAACTTCTGTATTCCTTTTCAGCCATCTTCAGAGGAGAGTCTCATCAAGTACTTGGAGATAGCCATATGCGATTCGGGATGCGTGAACGCACGGACCGGGGAACTAGCGCTGGTTATAGTGTACCATCAGTTAGGTAAGTGAGAGGTCGATTTTGTTTCACCGTACCCTATTAGGGGTAAAGTAAAAAAATATGTTTTGTAATTTTTATGAAATCCAAATAATTTTTGTTAAAATATATAAATATGTATTAAACACTGTGAGCACACAGAATTCAAACTTTCACTGTAACACATTGCAAAGCAACTGATTATGTGAACCTGTACCCCTTCGTGGGGTATGGGGCAAATCTTGTATTAAATTTACTTACAAGCAAGTAGTTCACAGTTTTCTATTTGGACCTAGGATTTCTTACGCGCAATTAATTTTACAAGTAAGCTAGGGAGTTACGTTGTATGTCGTTTGTTTGTAAAGAGAAAGTTTTTTTTTTATAGAACAAGAACTACTAGACTGGAGTAGAGAAAGCAGTCCAGTACCAGAGGAAGCCTACTATCTCTACGACTTTGCTGCCCAGTTACAAGCACATTGCAATGTGAGTTTTTATCTCTTTCTTCTCTATTTCTTACTTACTCTTCCTTGGCTAGATTAGGGGGCATTAAGAAATTGATAAATGACTTTTATCACTTATTGTTTGTCACGCTTTTCCAAAAAGTTAAGATCTTTTTTTGTTTTTCTACCTAATTTAGTATTTTTAAACTTATTTTGTCGTTCTACCACATTTATAACGCTATAACTTCCTACATTTTCAGATGAATGATGCCTCCCTTCTTACTACGCGTAACCGCTTCCGCAGTGTGCTGGCGGCCTATGAAGCTCGCGCCGCTGCGCCACAACGGCAGAGACTCGTATGGCGGCTCTCTGAACGAACTCTCAAGGTGGGATCATTTAAAACTAAGAAAAATAGCAATCATTTTAAATTACATATAATAAAACTACTTAAATGAGTAATTATTATTTATTTATACAAGGCCCAAGGTTCCCATAACAAAACAATAGTTTTAAAACGCTTTATTTGTCAAGCAGTAACAAAAAGGTTTTGTATAATAGACAAAATTAAAAATATGTTTTAGTTGGCTTCTCCTATAAGAGCTAGAATGCTAATGCCATGTAAAAAAAGGTATGTTACTTAACATGTAAAGTAAACTTGCTAATCCTGATTTGTGTTTAGGTGCTTCGCCCCACGGACCGTTTGAGGTCGCTGTTGCCAACAATCGAAGAGCAGCACTTCGCTGTGGACGCAACGCCCACAAGAAAGAGGTATGCCATTTTTATGATAACGCTATAAAGACATTTCATAATCCACTCTTTCATGTCTGGGATAAGAAATAAGATAATGATAATATTTAATACTGTCTGTAGTTTACGCGAGTAGTTCACATTTAAATAAAACAGTTTAAAACGCGATGCATATTAGTTAAACTTATTTGGAAACTACTTAACTATGACCCGGCGTTTCTGATCGTTTGCAGCAGCAGGTCACGGGGAGATCTAATATACATCGGATTTAAACCATTTGTTTTATGTAAAAAAAAGAATTACACTGTACTTATTGACTGTACTTAAAATGGTTAAAGAGTTATGATAACAATTTCCTTTTCACAGATCCGGAAGCGAAAGTAGCGAAAGCGAAGAGACATCCGATTGGCCGCGCAGTCCTGTTCTCCCCGTCTACTGTGAGAACTAGTAGAAAACCTCGTCGAATAACTGATGAAACGTACATTAGACAATTTGAATCTAATAAGAAGTGCTCAAGATAGCGTATTGTTCATCTCTCAGCCGTCAACCGAGTGATATAATTCAAAATAAAAATTGAAGTGTACGCTGGATTCTTTATTTAATCTGTGGAACGTGGCGAGCGTCAATTGTCAGCTGTCGAAACGGCGTCAGCGGCTACTGTGAAGTTAACTGTCAGTGTCAGACGCCCACAGAGTAATGTAGGTATCGAGATCCCACTTTTGAATTATCAAAACACCGTGATCCGCTCTACTAGAGATGTTTTCAACTTTTAAAATGGCGTCTTCTTCATCGGAACCGGTTCGAATTCTATGAGTATTAATTTTTATGCAAGGCCTAGGGCAATGGTCGTTTTAATTGTTAATTGAGTTTTTGTTATTGTTTTTGAGATACCAGAAAAAAAATTTTTAGAGACTTGACGCAAGCAAGAATTGATGCGGATCTAATCTAAAATTTTATTTTTAATGAGAAATATATAATATTAATCCCAAAACTACGCCCCATGCTGCGGATTCGGCGTCAATAAATAATTATTTTTATATAATGCGTGCGAAGGGGGCACCCTTTTTATGTTTGACGTATAAATTGACAAATATGTTGCAAAATAAAAATATATCTATGCTATAATAATTAGGTTGTAATATTTATGATTAACTATAAGTTTAGTTTAAGTTTAAAATATCGATTTATTTCTATTTGTACGAGATTTGATCCATCAATTCTGGTCTTAAAGCATTGTGTACCGCCGATCTATGAAACGAGCATTGTTCTGGCCCGTAGCTTTACTGTGATGATTTTTATAAGTGAAAATGTTCAAAAAAAAAATTCCATATTTTTCTAGAGATTAAGTTAAAGTTAAGATGTGTGCTTGTTTAACTCCACCGATCGGTTGGGGACGGACACCGACTGAACCGTTTTCGACGGGCTCTGCGTAGTGGCCGTCGAAAAGAGAGCAGCGGTTGACGCCCCGAAAACGTTAGTCTAATTAATAAAATGGCCGGGTAAAAAATCGTAACAAGAAAAAACATATTTTTTAACTTAGCATATTTCATACTTATTTCTTAAACGTACATAAGTAAATGACACAAAAAAAAATTAAAACACTAATGGAAAAAAAACATAAAAAAATGATCTCAAATCGTTTCATAATCTTAATGTATAGAATCATCGTTTAGTGCGTGTGTTTGTTTTCGTTCGCTTGGTTATTTTTTCCACTGTGCTGTATTAATTTCGATGCAACTCTGTAGGTACGTTTGGGTCATGTTTCTAGCGTTTACACTCTATCACTGACATAATCCATTTTTAACAATTTATTAGAGAAATGTTGGTAATTAAATTTTTTATAATAGTGAATTGCATTTTCTATATAACGTATAGTTATGCGGACAGGCGGACATATTTTTAAGGTAGCTATTTTGTATTGAACGAAGGAGTTATCACCAGGACCGATAAATGTGTTCATATTTTATGTAAAAGTGTATCTTGCATTTAAATGAGTGTGTGTATGCTGTTTTTGTGTACAACGTGTTGTGCTGTTGTGTTATACAACATGTTGGCATGTATACATTGTAAAAAACATGTGTAAATACAAGTTTTTTTTTATTGACTTGAAAATTGTAAAATAAATTTTTTGCCATTTCTTATAAAGAAAAAAAATTGCATATAATTTACTTTTAAGATTGTAGAAATTATTATTCTAAAGAACATGTATTTGACTTTTAAAGATATTATTTTAAAATTGAAATATAGTGTTATAAATAAATATTGGATGTGTTATAATGCTGTGTACAACTTGTAACACGTTGTACATGAAATGTTGGTAATGTCTGTTGTACAACTCGAATTAGTGGATAATAAAGAAATTGCGACCCTTCATTTCGTTTTTATTTATATAAACAAAAATGAATTTGCAACAGTATCGTTTTCTACGACGACGTATTTCTCTGAGTAACGATACATAATGTTTTAAATTCAAACTATATTTTGCTAGGCACACATAAATTATAAAAAAAAACACCTAAGTTTAATAATTGTACAAAATACCTTTAAAAAATGCTTGTCATACGGGAGGAAGCACTTACCACAAGAGTTTACAGTAACAAAGAACTAAAACTACAAAAAAAAATCCAAATTTAACTGTATAAAATATACTGCAATGTGAGCTGTAAGTGTAATTAAAGAATAAATATTCAGATGTGTAGTCAAATATGATAAATTTTATAATAACAATCAATGGCATCACATTAATGTGGCTGATAGTCCAAAAAATATTCGGCGGAAGATCGGAAATGTTATTAGTACGGGACGTCAAAGGACCTGTGGGGAACGGTCATTGGTACGGGACGTCACAGGACATATTGTGGGAAACGAATTGTGAAGCTAGCACGTTTTGCTGCCGAAAATATAGAAGAGACTCTGTATTCTAGAGTCTTGTCTCAAGAAAATGATATAAGGGAACTCTCCATCCACACTTCGCTGTTACCTGCTACGACAAAATTATTTTTTCTTTTCTTGGCGGCGAACATTAATTCTAAAGTGGCAACACCGCACTAAAAATTATCATAGACAATTTTCAGATGTCAATTGTAATCTGTCACGCCCAGATCCCATTTGATCTTCGCTTTATTAATATTTGACACAACTTAATTATTATTGTGGTGAATAAAATATAAAATGTTTTTCTAGTTGTATCATTAGTTAATCGTGTTAATATACTCTCTATTTTATCTCAATACGGTATAGAAAGTTTGCATCTAAACAGTATAAGAATGCGTTAAAACGAATCTTTGGTGGCGTACATTTTGTTGTTTTAAGAATTACTAAATCACAATGTCTGTTAGTGAAAAAGTCTCTCTATCGGATGCTTTGAGCAATGTGGACGTGCTAGACGAGTTGACTTTACCAGGTATGTCTGTTATTCTAATAATATTATCGTAAACAAATTGTTTATCCACTAAAGTATGATTCATTATAGGATAATGAAGTCACTAATTTTGATAAATCCTACTTTAGGGTGTTATTACTTTATTTCGTGGGATTGTTACCATTCATTATTATACCGTTGAAAAGCTTGTGTTTAGTGTGCATAACCCTGAGACCTGTGAGAAACAAATAATATTATCACCAGTTATCACAGAGTACTTGTTATTGAATATAAATCAGTGTTGCTCGGGTGCTACTACGGGTCATTAAAACAAAGTAAAATAAATTGAAAAAATTACCACATTACAGAACTTGAGCCGGCACCCACAGCATTCCGTGCTGTTGCTCTAAACTATTGAGCTACCGAGTCCTATATGTCATGTTTTATTCAACTTATTTATACATGGACCTCTCACGCAATGTTATTTCAAACTTAACACTTTAAGTAGCGTATTAATTAAATAAAAAAAAACTTTTTAATTTGTAATCAATTTTTTTTGCCAAAGTGCCATCATGTGCAAAAACATTGTCCATGCTAACAAACAAGAAACACAGAGTACAACTATACTAGTATCATCATCCAATTCTATACTTTTATTAATTTCTCAGATGAACAACCATGTATAGAAGCAGCGCCCTGCTCTATCCTGTACCAAGCAAACTTTGATACCAATTTTGAAGACCGCAATGGCTTTGTCACTGGTATTGCCAAGTATATTGAAGAAGCCACTATTCATGCCAACTTGGTAAGTTCGAGATGTCTACTACTGTAGTATATGATCGACTGTGCTGTTTGTGTTAATTGAAAATTTTCTTTTATGAATCAAGTGTCATTTGATAATTTTACATGATGGCCCTTAAAGCGAATGTAATTTGTTCATTTAATTTTTAAAAATACATGACAGGGATGCCCCCAATGCAGCTGTGTTGTATGTTTTTGTTAAATATTCAAGTCCTTTGAACTTGTATATACAGGTCTCTTCTCTGTGTATTATAATATAACTTGATTATACTATACTAGCTGTTTCAGAGACTTCGTCCTCTAAGAGTATGTTGGGCATCCAAATTCGTTTTTGCAAACCTTTATAAACATAAGCTTAATTACCCAAGACGACGGACGCTTCCCTTCCCGTTGTTCTTCTAAAGTTAATCTGTAAAAGTTAGACATTACACAGTGACCAGTACATTTTTAGAACATATAAATAGGAATAATTCTTTAATACACATTTTTTGGGTGTCTTGAAACCATGTTCCCAGCTTACGCATCAGAAACCCAGAGAGATGAATTATTTCCCCCCCATTTTTTGTAATATTTCTCGCTGTTTTTTTGCTCCTATTAGTCACAGCGCGATGCCTTAAAGCCTAAAACCTTCCTCGATAAATGCTCTAACCAACACAAAAAGAAGAATTAGAGATTAGAGCGTTCAAACAAACAAACAAACTCTTCAGCTTCATATATTAGTTAGATTTACTTGGTCAAATTAAAAACTGTCACTGTCCATTCATTGTCAAAGTCCTTAAATGATTGTTCACTTTCAGAACGAACTCCTAGAAGAAGGAAATGCCCATGCTGTTATGCTCTACACTTGGCGATGCTGCAGCCGTGCCATCCCGCAGCCTAGATCAAATGAGCAGCCAGATAGGGTCCACATTTATGAGAGGACAGTGCAAGTGCTTGCTCCTGAGGTGGATAAGCTGCTACAATTCATGTACTTTCAGGTAGGCTTTGGATCTGGTCAAATTTCAAAATGACTTAAGTGTTAAGTAGACAAAGTGTGAATAGAAGCATCAAATTAGGTCAGATAATAACATTTCTTCCTTCTTCTAGAGACATTTAAATAAAACACTTTAACTGTTTTATAAACGAAATGAATTAGTTAAACTTATTTGAAATTTCGAATGTGTTGCAGTAGCCGTGGTCATTGAGAGGCAGTTAAAATAATTTTCAGATAAGTTTAAGTACTTACTATATTTCGGGTTTTAAACCGTTAAAGTGTTTTATTTAAATGTGTACAACTCGCGTAAACAACAGGCAGGTATCTTCTATAGCCAAAACCATTATTTGTGGTCTTTAGTCAATCAGTATTTTGTAGGTACATATATAAATTACTTTTTTAAATACTGTCTATAGTAATACATTGCATTTTAAACCGTTAAAGTGTTTTATTTAAAAACTTTTTTATTTATATATAAATATGGCTCTATAATCCGTTATATACTTTTTAGAGGAAAGCAATAGAACGTTTCTGTGGCGAGGTGCGAAGGTTGTGCCACGCGGAGAAGAGACGCGACTTCGTGTCAGAGGCGTACCTGCTAACCCTGGGCAAGTTCGTGAACATGTTCGCCGTGCTGGATGAACTGAAGAACATGAAGAGTTCAGTCAAAAATGATTACTCCACGTATAGGCGGTGAGTAATTAATTCTGTAAAAGATCCAATGGGCTATTTGACTGAATTTAAAAAGGACTTTGTATTCATAGAGGTTAAGGATCTCCAGAAAAGTAGAATTTTTCATTTCTGTCACATATTTTCTTAAATATATCAAATTAAAAACCCAACGTTTAAAATTTTACATTGTGTGCCTAAACGCAATACGGCTAGTGACGTCACGACCATTGGCGTATGTCGATCATACAGTCGACAATTTATGCTTTTCTACCTAATATTTTAGCGTTTTAATAGTTATTGAAGTAATAAAATGAGTTGCAAATGAATTTTTTTATCAACGCAAAGAATAGAACACTTTTAGCATAGGAGGAGGCACAGTAGTTCATAGCACCGATTCTTCTAGATCATCGCTGATTGACCTAGCACCAGTATGGTGAATCCATGGTTTAGCATAGCTCTCTTGACTCAACACCAATGAAGCAATTTTTTAAAGCTATTATCATACTATACAATTTGCTTACTAATATAATTATAAAAATATATTTTTATAAACACTTGTTGTAAAGTTACTGCAACGGATAAGGACTTAACGCTTATGAAATATATAAAGTTATAAATGGGATTTGAACTTATTATACTTTCAAATATTTCAATTAATCTCATCCAGTTTCACAAACAAAGTCTTCTAAAACTATTAAATTTATTAATTAATTAAGTTAGTAATAAATAGAATATATATATTTTTCAGAGCTGCACAATTCCTGAAAGTGATGTCAGACAGCCAAAGCCTGCAAGAGTCCCAAAACCTGTCTATGTTCTTAGCGACGCAGAACAAGATAAGAGACACAGTCAAGGACGCTTTGGAGAAGATAAACGGTGGGTCACTGAAACAAATCTTATTACAAAAATTATTGTTATTACATTAGCCGGTATTACTAATCTCTCTAGGATTACTTAAGAACACAAAATAGAACTAGCACAATCTTTTCAGGTTACGAGGATCTTCTGGCAGATGTCGTCAACATTTGCGTTCATATGTTCGAGACAAAAATGTACCTAACCCCTTCGGAGAAACATATGCTCGTGAAAGTAAGCAAATAAAATTATACACTGTCTATAGTTTACGCGAGTAGTACACATCTAAATAAAACACTTTAACGGTTTAAAACGTGATATATTAGTTAAACTTATTTGAAAATGATTTTTAACTTCGGCCCGAAGTTCGGTAGTTGCTATAAGGACCCGGCCAGTTTCGCCAAATACGAACTTCGACGGAACAGATGGCTGGCGCCATCGTAGCAATTTTTTACTTTGACGTCAGGGACATCCTCCATCTTTATTCCCCCCGTGACCACGGCTGTCTGTCAAAGCATCTGGCGAAACTGTCGGGCCAAAGTTAACAATCATTTTCAAAATACTTAACTGATATTCGCGTTTTACATCGTTAAAGTGTTTTATTTAAATAATATTATAATAATAAAAATGCGTTGCCTGGTACTCCGTTAAACATGTTTGGTTTCACTCGACGAGGGATCAGTTCCTTGCCTATAAATAAAATCGATTGGTACTACGCATATGTAATTAGCTTAACACCGCTGAGAATGTTATTATATAAATCCTAAGGTCAAATTAAATGTCAACCAATAGTAAAAATATTGCTTTAGTACCTATAATTTTAATTAACTCCATAATAATGCATAACTAAAAAAGGGCATTATTAAAGTGTAGGTCCGCTGGAAAATATTAGCCAGTGTAAAATGTCTCTGCTCATTCAATGTAATAATTTTGTCCGTTTTGGTCCTTCGAGCCGTATTAATAGCGTTATGGATTTGTACACGGCGTGTAATTATACTATTCCTTTGTTCAGGTAATGGGTTTCGGATTGTTCTTAATGGATTCAGATGTGTGCAACATCAACAGGCTGGACCAGAAAAAGAAGATTAAATTGGACAGAATCGACAGGATATTTAAGGTACTTTATTTAGACTACAATTAAATTGGAACTAAACTAATACTAAACTGACGAACATAAATAAAAAATAAAAGTAAGCATTAATTACGATGGATACAAGTGTATGTTTAAAAACTAATCAGCGTTCCCACTGTTGGGAACCGGGTTTTCAGATGGAAGTATTAGATTTTTCTGTTCTATCATATGTCTTTTTCTATATTGAATATTTTGAAGCACAATTATGAAGCAAATTTAATTCTCAACGCGTAGTTGATTTGTTGATTGATTAAATACTGTCTTTTCACGGAGTAGTACACATTTAAATAAAACACTTTAACGGTTTAAAACGCGATAATCTCCCGTTCCACGCTGCTGAAAAGCATCCGAAACTGGCAGTTAAAAAATCATTTCAAATAAGTTTAAAATATATCGTTTTAAACCGTTAAAGTTTTTATTTATTGTTTTGATTTTCAATTACTTTTTTTTACAGAATTTGGAAGTCGTACCCCTATTTGGAGATATGCAGATAGCCCCGTTTAACTACATCAAGAGATCTAAGCATTACGATCCAAGCAAGTGAGTGTTCCCACGTTTCAGTAGTTGTTAGTAGTCATTAGGTAGTCAAAACAAGTTAGAACATTAAATGAAAGCCACCCAGTAGTTACTTTATAGCGCTAAGTAGCTATATACATTTTGTAACTATTTAAAGAATAAGAAATAGAGACATTAATATTATTTATTTAATTTCTTACTGGGCTATCAAAATATACGTATTCATGAGCATTCGTCACGTTATATTTTGATAGTAGAGCGTCAAACTACTAGACGAAACTATGTGAAAATCGCTTTTTTAAGAATTATATGAACAACTAACAACCGTTCGTTCGTTTCCGGCCACTCAAGTTGTGAATGTATGTTACAGATGGCCGCTTTCCTCCAACGTCAACCCGCTGTCGCCCCAAGCCGATCTGATGGTCCACTTACCGCAAATTCGGGAGGAACATCAGAACTACATCTCTGAATTGGCGAGATACAGCAACGAGGTGAGATTGTGTAATCCCAAGATTGGGACAAAGTCAAATAAAGAATAATAGAGTACTAGGATAAATTAATTTACTACCATAAGCCACACAAAAACATTTAAGCCTTATATAATTTAATTTTTGCAGCATAAAATAATTTTGTGTGCAGCCAGTTGGTAGAATAAGATCGTACTCGGGTTATATCAGGTCCTTTGTTGACCTGAAACTGATTTTCAGTAAGTCCTATGAGTGCGGACAGCGGTGCCACACACAAGTGAAAGTGAAAAAGTCAATCTTGCAAAACTATGTGCTGTTCTTAGTTCCTAGTTCTTTATGCTATTTCCCTTAAATTTTGAATTACAACTTAGACATACTATTATGTCTGTTTTGAATGTCGTCGATTAAACTTTTGTGAGACTCAAAATTGACCTATCTTTTTTTAAATAAAAAAGTAACTATACACTTTAATATATATCGCGTTTTAAACCGTTAAAGTGTTGTATTTAAACGTTACTATCTTCTCTATTATCTTTACTATCTGCTTATTGAACCTGCCTGGTTAAAACGCAAGTAATACAATGTCCCCCCCTCTCCTTATCTTCCAAGTAAACAAACACTTTTTAACTCTCTCAGGTAACAACGACATTCAAAGAAGCCGGCTCCGATAACGAGAACAGAGCGGTCACAGAACTGTGCCTGCGCGGTCTGCAGCTCCTCTCGTCCTGGTGCTCGGTATTGACGGAGTTGTGCTCGTGGAAGCTCCTCCACCCCACGGACCACGCTACCAATTCCAGATGCCCACCGGACGCAGAGGAATATGAGAGAGTAAGTAATACCTGTGTTTATTATTATTACGGAAAATAGCTGATGATATAACCTCGTGACTAATCCGCTTAGAAAGAGACAATTTTAATATCAGACGGTGTCGTGCCATCTCGCTCATGTGAATAGAAAAGAAGTACGTTTATTTAGAAACAAAACATATTAAATACGCAAATATAGTGTCCTCTGAAGAGGAAGCCACTCAGCTACGATGAGACTGTCCCAAAAATTATATTCTGTGGCTCCTTCCGAGTCCCTGCTAACGCAAGTGAGAGTCTAGTCTAGTAACTAACGCAAGTCTGTTGGACCCACGACCCGGGGCTTATTAGGCCTTCACTGCTACCATTTCTTAGGGATACGAACTCAGGACATTTTGTGCTTAATTAAATGCTCCCCTAGTAACGCGACACACGTTTTAATTGATTCATTTTGTAAATTAAAATATCCTTTACACGCGTAAATTACACATTCAACGATAAACAATATCAATAACCATCTTTTATACTCTATTTATCATCTCTTTCAGGCCACCCGCTACAACTACACATCGGAAGAGAAGTTCGCGATGATAGAAGTGATAGCGATGATAAAAGGCCTCCAGGTGCTGATGTCGCGGATGGAGACGGTCTTCGCGGACGCAGCACGGCGGGCCATCTACGCCGAGCTGCAGGATTTTGTGCAGCTGGTGCTGCGGGAGCCGCTGAGGAAGGCGATCAAGAATAAGAAGGATCTTATACGCAGGTATATGTCATTTCATTCCAATTATAACTCGTCGATGTGATAACTAGAAAGAATAAATACTGTCTATAGTTTACGCGAGTAGTACATATTTAAATAAAACACTTTAGCGGTTTAAAACGCGATATATTAGTTAAACTTATTTGAAAATCATTTTTAAATAAGTTTAACTAATATATCGCGTTTTAAACCGTTAAAGTGTTTTATTTAAACTATAAAAAAGTTTTTTTTTGACGCATTGCTATGTCAGAAAAAACACGTTTTTGTTTGAGTTTGAAATAAATTAGTTTACTTATTATAATTGACCACAGCTGCTCCAAAGCGTCCAAAACTTAACTTAACATTATTAATTTAACATTTAATGTCTTTAATTTGTAAGTATTACTAATTTAAAATTTAAAAAGTAATCCAATTTAGATCTTTTCAAAATGTCGTGTTTGAACGATTTCTTTAATGACAAGACCGCCTGCCAGTAATGAATTGCTCCCTAGATTAATAAATTCACAATGTAGTTTATAAGACAAGTTAAAAAAAGCTTGTGGTTTCTTGGGAGTTCTTCTCATTTATATTGCTCTTTCGAACACTCTGCAGAATTACGACGAAACGGACTGACAAACAAAACATTTTTGAGGGATCTAAGTAATTTTTAAAATTTTAAAAAAGAATAAAAGTATTTTTTTTTTTTAATAGGTATGTTTTTCAACATTATATATAATATTAAGATGAGTTTCAATTTTACCTCACCGTTTGCTGAATGGCTGAACATGTTGCCTATCATCGCGTTAAACATAGGCGGTTCTAGTCAGCTCACAACGTGGTCTTGTGGATTTGTCATTTACTCGTCTGTAATGAAATTATTCAGTGGATCGGACACAGAAATGTGCCCCTTCATTTGAACCTAAATATTTATTTCTGCTCATTGTTCTGGTACTTTTTAAAGCTTAGATGTCCTTAATTAAAAGTACACTGATTTCAGTATCATTGTATCTGTTCGCGAGACGTGTGGCGATTGGGCCCGTGGCTGCGAGCCTCAGCAGGACCCCGCGCTGCGGGGAAAGAAGGACGGCGAAGCCAGTTTCACTATCAAAGTACCGAGGCGGAATGTTGGTGAGTGAACTCTGTATAATAAAGTTATTTAGTTAAAGAATACATCAACTACACGTGTTATAATGCCAAAATGGTTTTTTTGCTATCATCATCAAGAAATCATCATAATACCGATTTCGACATAAAACGGAATCAGATTAATGATCTTTCGATATCTCAAACTTTTGAAACTTTTTTACATAATACAAGGTCTTCCCTCCAGGTCCGTCCACGACCCAGTTGTACATGGTCCGCACGCAGTTGGAAGCTCTGATCTCGGACAAGTCTGGTGGACGGCGAACTCTGCGCAAGGACCTAGACGCGACGACTCTTGCGCAGATCGAAACATTCCACAGGCAGAGCTTCTATTGGACTTACATGCTTAATTTGGCTGGTTCGGTTTATAATTTATTTCATATTCTAAGAATCGTTTTAGGCCGTCTGATCATGATAATGATCATCAATAAAAGATAACAATAAATATTATCTAGACGTCATACTCAAAGAAAATGTAAATATATAATAAAAATTAATTTATATATAATAAAATATATAAAAGTCAACATTAAGCATTAAAAAAAACAGTTTTATATATTGCACGAACAGTACTCGAACCCTACAGCGTTCCGTGCTCTATCTATAGAGCTACGTACAGTCCTGATAATTTCCTCCGAATATCAGAACACAAAAACCCTAATGACATAAATTCTGATCAATTTATGACGTGTGTAAATGTGTAGTCGTCTTTTAATATTTCAGATTCGCTGCAAAAGTGCTGCGATCTGTCGCAGTTGTGGTACAGGGAGTTCTACCTTGAGATGACAATGGGGAGAAAAGTCAATGTGAGATATTTTAAAGTTGTCTTAATCAAGTTTCGGTTTTAGTTAAAAATATCCAAAGATAAAAAATTATTAAATCATTTTATGTAAATTATACCTAATTTAATCAACTCACACTCTATACTAATGACATTAAAATTTCCTAAAAAAAACAATGCACAGTCTATATATACCAATGACACTTTTGCAGAAATGCACAGTCCGCCACCAGCACAACGAGGAATGCAACGACCTCATCACCATGGAGAAGAGAATCCAATTCCCCATCGAAATGTCCATGCCCTGGATATTAACGGATCACATTCTGAGGAGTAAGGAGCCAGCTATGATGGAGTAAGTGGAAAAGGGGGTTTATCGGAACTTGAATTTTAAAATTACACGGGTGGTAAAGCTTCACGGCTTATTATATATGTTTCAGAAATATTATAAAATTATTAGAGATATGTAAATAAACTTAACGGTTTTAAACACGAAATATAAGTGTATCCGTAACGTCGGGCCATAGTTGAAATAATTTTAAAATAAGTTTAACTACAATATTTAACTTTATGCACCGTTAGTAAGTATTCTATTTAAATGTGTACTATTCGCGTACATCACATCTACGATCCATTGATTATATATATACATTACTATTATTGGACCAACGAGTATGTCGTACTGATATTATTTGCATTGCTTTCAGATACGTCCTGTACCCGCTAGATCTATACAACGACTCGGCTCAGTACGCGCTAACCGTGTTCCGGAAACAGTTCTTGTACGACGAAGTGGAGGCGGAAGTCAATCTTTGCTTCGATCAATTCGTTTATAAGCTATCTGAGCTGGTCTATGCGCATTACAAGCAGTTGGCATCGAGGTGAGTTTTAACATGAGCTTACTTTAACACCACATATATAGTGATATATGAAGCTGAAGAAATTAAAAAAAAAAAATTGGGTCGGTTAGAGCATTTATCGAGGAACGTATAACACTTCCCTGTGATTAGTACAAGCGAAGATACAGCGCGGAATGGGAAAATTATTCATCATTATGGGTTTTCGAGGCGTACGCTGCAAAAACGGTACAAGATACCAAAAAAATATGTACTAAAGAATGATTCCTCTTTAAATGATTTAAAAAAGCCCTTGACACTATATGTCTCTCTTTTGAGATTCAGTTACAAGAACGACGGGAAGGCACGCAACCGACGTCGTGGGTAACAGCTATAGTTATAAATATGATGGGGTTTGCAAAAACGAATTTGGAAGTCCAAAATAAGCATTAAATGCGGATGAAGTCGCTAACCTTCTACTATGCAAAAAGGGTTCAAATACCCAACAAATATGTAGGAATTAATGACTCCTCATTAAATGGTCTTAAAAAAATGTCCATCACAGTATATGTCTATCTTCTAAGATTAATTTGAAACAATGACAGGACACGTCCGACGTCATGGGTAATAGCTTAAATTTATAAAGATAAAAAGGAGGTTTTTCAAGAACAAATATCGATGCCCGAAATTACAGGCAGTCATTCTATGCGCAGAAAACGTCGCTGACACAGCTAGTTAATTTATATTTACTGCAATGGGGGGAAAAAAAAAAAAAAAAAAGAAAGTTTATTTATGTACAATAAAAAATAATTGAACCAACTCTGCAGTTGAAATCAATTAGAGCAGGAGGGCCTAAGCTCGAATCCCAGGTGAAGCAAAGGGCAAATGTGTTTTAGAATAATTTGTGTCTCTGTCATTTGTAAGAGATTGCGGGAAAGAGACAACGCTCTATTAACGCATTTTTTTATGATAGCGGAGAACTAACAAGAATGGGGTCACTTGGTATATGGTGTAATACACCAGCTATCGCGTTGTAACCTATTTTGGCTTTGGATATTCGGCAATCCACAGATTGAAACCCAAACGTGGATTAACCTTTACGCCTTTTCCAGCTGTGGACATTTCTTAGTAACCTAGATGTAACTACGATTTTTCCATCACACATTTAATAACCAGATTTCCAGACGAAGTCCAAGATGTTTCAGAAAAATTAGACATTGATTAGAAAACTTTTGGACCCGGTGGGAATCGGACCCACGACCCGTTGACTGCACCAACTGAACTGCAAATTACACCAACGAGACTATATTTTTTATTTCATTGCAGTATGCTGTTGGACAAGCGCTACAGGGCGGAGTGTGCGGCCCGAGGGGCGAGCACGGGCTGCGGGGCGGGGAGGTACGCGTCTCTCTTACGACAGAGGCACGTCGCTCTCTTGGGGCGACATGTGGACCTGTGCGCTCTGGTTAGTGTTTTTAGCATTGCTAGTTTATATTGTAAAGGACGCTAAAATTATTAGGTATTTGTAAATCGCAGAGAAAATGTATATTCAGTTTTCTGGTAGTTGTTCGTCTTCATTTAAATGTTGGCCCCAGTAAATTATGATTGGGTTTTAGACTTACTAGAGAAGAGTACGTTGGTTAACAGCAATAGCAAAGCCCAAAGGTCTCGTTATAGAAAAAATAAATTATTTATTTAGATTGGGGCTGATAATAAACGGGTCGTGAATTTGATTCAAAGGACTTCGTCTGGAAATCTCGAATATAATGTGGGTGATAAGCCGAATTATCTCGAACTGCATCTGTCGTTGCTGGGATATTTCGCCGTCGTTTAAGTGCTTCTTTCTCTATAAAAAGGAGTTTAATACAATAAATAATAATACAATATAATTTTTTTTTTTTAACTTATCACTATTTAAAGCAATTACGATGTTTAGTAATTTCATTACATCGGCATCTCTAGCATATAATTGTGTTATTTCAGGTTGCACAGAGGATAAACGCGGATATGCACCGCGCGTTGGATGCGGCCGTAGCTAAGTTCGAAGCCTGGTGACATCACCGGGGTTGTTGTAAGTATCATGGAGGGGCAAACACTGTTATAATTTCAACAAAAATACTTTTTTTTATTAATAATTTAAAAACATTTTTGACTTACCTTAGAACATAATACCTCATAGAAAACTCGTAAAGGAGTGTAAAAAACGTGTAAGATGCATTACTGCTAGTAGTGCGCACACGCTTACGAATATCTTAAAGTATGCAATAGTGATGAGAACTATTTTGAACGAGGTGACAATCAAAACTGGTCTGTTTTGTTGCTATCTGAGTTCGTAAGATTATGGTTAATTTCAAAGTTGTAAAATATTATAATTGTTACTTGTATCTTTCATTAGTTCTTAGTCATTTTTCATTATATTAGTAGCTGTAAGGATGAAAGTGTAGTGTTAATATCAATAAACTGTCTGTGCTCACCACTTTGTGGCGTAGGATAGTTGTTTGGACATCATAATTTTCTTTGCAAACCTCCTCCTCATCTTTATAAATTATAGCTATAACCCACGACATCGTTTGAAGTCCGTCGGTTTCGCGAGTAAATCTTAAAAGAAGACACGCAACGGAAACTCTTATAGATGAATAATTTTCCCCGTTTATTCCACATTTTCTTCTGTTCGGTACAATTGGCCGCAACGTCGTGTTATATAGCCTAAAGCTTTCAATTCGAACCAGTACTTACTAATATTAGCACATTCAAACTCATATATATAGCATACACACACACATTATTGATAGTTCTTTATACAATTTACCCCTAACTATGCCTAAATACCAAAAGTAGACAACAGGATAATCCACAATGCATATTTAAATATTTTTCCTGGTTTCAGGAGCTGGAAGGCCTGATCGCAGTGAACCGCCTCTGCCACAAGCTATTAAGCCGCTACCTAACGTTGGACGAGTTTGAAGCGATTCTTCGCGAATCGGACCACGGGGTGCTCGCCCCCTACGGCCGCATTACCCTCCACGTCTTTTGGGAACTCAACTACGATTTCCTGCCAAACTACTGCTACAATGCCGCTACTGATAGGTAAACGCACGGAATAAGTTTGTGTGTGAAGTGTAATGTTAGTTATGTATGCTGTATCAACAAAATTCTAAATTTACTGGAACATGTTGTACTTTATCTGGAAATCTGGATATTGAATGGGTGGATGGAATATCGAAAATCTGTCCGGAACACGAACCACATATGAAAAAACCGTCAAGTTTAATTACGTTCCACTTGTAGTCTATGAATTTTCGAATATCCAAAGCCAAAATAGGCCGACAGCGTATCTTGCTCATTAGTTATATTGCTGGGAGTATTAACCTACCAAAGTGAGCGCCACGCTTGTCTGTCCTCCTATATTGTAAAAAAACCATAGTTAGCATTGGAGCAGACACATTTTTAAGTCCGTCCACTAGCTTCTATTACAGACAAGAGCACGCTATCAAATAATTTGACACGACCATCCATTATGCCTTAATATTTTATAATTGAATACTGTCCTTGTTCAATATAGGAGATTGTGGGAAAGAGACAACATTTTCGTTGATGTTGGTGAATAGACAGTAAGTAACGAATTTTATTGCAGGTTCGTCAAATGCCGTGGTATACAGTTCGCTCCGGCCGTACAAAGGGAGAAACCTCAACAGTACGGACACGCGATGCTGTGGGGGTCGAAGCAGCTCAGCTTGGCTTATTCAGCTCAATATGCACAATACAATGGTAATAATGCAAACTTATAAACGTGACATCAGTTAAAGAGTAATGACTCTAAATTTACACTCACTACCAGTTCTCAAATCAATGGCGTAAAACGGACGAGAAGAACTGGCAAGAAACTCGCCGCCAGTACAGCTTTGTAGTGAGAAATTATTCTTACATTCTATAGATGTTGCTTAACGCTCACACGCTTTACTTAGTATAAATTAATAGTCTGGGATAAAAATTACAATAATTAAGCATAAAGTCAAAAAAAATGGGAGGGATATACCCAATATGGCAGCTGTATTGCAACTACAGCGATAGAGATAATTACAGCGACATCGTTATTTTCAATTCGACAAACCGCAGAATACTCTTGTGTTTTATGAGTTTTATGAATCTTGTCTGAATATTTTTAAAATACATTCAAAAATCTGTATATGCTTCGGTGTAGTGTCATGGATAAGTTATGTTAATAACGATGATAATAATATTTATATCTCTCTCTTTTGCTCTAGAATTTCAATGGTCGGTCTTTATAAAATCCCAGGTTTCGTCGGCGCTCAACATTTGCACGCTCTGGTCCGTCTCCTTGGTTACCAGGGCGTGGCCGTCGTGGTCTCGGAGTTGTTGGGCGTGGCTCGAGGCCTACTGCATGGCACTCTTGCGCAATTCACGCGAGCGTTGGCTGCAGCTATGCCTAGGCATTGCAAACTGCCTAGGTACGACTATGGATCTAACGGTGAGTTTTTATCGAACAAATTAAATTGCATTCATGTAGGCGCACCTCGGCAGTTAAATGTTAAAAGTCACATTTATTTCTAAAAAAATACAACTACCCTGCCAATGAAAGAATAAGGCAAGAAACTCGCGGCTACTCCTTTCATCATCAAGTTTTGTTACAAGTTTAATACAAGAATGTCCTAAAATTCACTAGAAATTAATTCTGCTAAATTCTGCGAAAAAGTGTTCAGGTCGGTTTGATGTTTATCCTAAAGAGAGCTAATTTTTCACAACCAGGTGTTCTAGGTTACTACCACGCCCAGCTAACAGACATAGTCCAATACCCGGACGCGCGGACGGAACTTTTCCACGCTTTTCGCGAATTGGGGAACATTATACTCTTCTGTATGCTCATTGAACAGGTGAGTTTAAGTACATAAGTATTAAATGAAAAAAGCTCTTGACAGTTTATATCTGGCTCAAAGGACCAAAACGTGATATAATACTGGAAATATGGAAAATTGGATAAAGAATTTTGGATTTGTCAGTATGTTTTTAATAAGCGAACAATTGAAAACCTATAACACCGTTCAAATTAATCAAATAATTTACATTTTCAATATGTTAGTGTTTAATTTTGGACATAAAACTTAATAAGTTTATATTCACAGGCGCTAAGCCAAGAAGAAGTGACTGATTTACTCCACGCTGCGCCATTCCAGAATATCCTTCCCAGACCATACACAGCAGGTAAACATACATGTTATATGATTATTTTTTATCTCATTTTTAGTTAAATTAAGACTTAATAGAACTAAATTTGAGGTTGCTTAAAATAATACTTTACTAATAACGTGATCGTAGAAGAAACAAAGAAGTTGAGTAAAATTAAAAATCGTTCCGCGGCGGGATTCGACCCTGCAGTAGAGTGTGCCTACTCTGTGAAATAGATCATTATATTTTACTTACTTGTTTGTGAATCACATTCGGGCTTTATTGTTACAGAGGGCGAAAAACCGGAGACAAAACAGAAGCGTCTCGAAGCTAAATACTCCGCGTTGCAGATTGTGCAGAACGTTGAAAAGTACGGCACAGCCAAGGTGAGGTATTTGACTTAGATGCCACTATATAAATTAAAAATCGATTTTAAATTTAAAAAAAAATACGACAAAGCCAAGTCCTACAAAGTACTGTACAGTACACATGTCATCGTTGAATTTTTCCAACTTATTGATACATACACCTCTCGCTAATTGTAATTTCAACCTTAACACTTGAGTATTAAGGTTCAATGTCTTATGCTTTGCAGCTTAGGAAAAATTTTGAAGATTGAAATTACAATGTTGAATGTTTGAAAACTAACCATTAGAGTTGACAGCTGTATTGATTTTCATAGATTTTACGGCTAGATATAGGTATTCCTTATTTGGTTATTTTTCACTTAGACAGCTATAGTTCACTTTCACCGAATATTATTAATAATGCGTTTGTCTCTCTCCCAAGCTCTTACAAAGAACAAGGACATCCAATTTTTTTGAGGAAATAAATTTTTATTTCTTATTAACTCGTTTCGGTGTGACTGATTTTAATATTTAAATTCAGTAGTTAAATAAATCATTATCTACTTCTCCTCGTAAGCTTGTTGTTAAGTTAGTAACGTAATAAAAAAAACAAACCGTAAAGCAACTATATTTCGATTTATTTAAAAACTTATTTTTTTACATAAAATTCCAGCAAAGCCAACTCTCCCGCGAGGGCGACCTTCTTACTCGCGAACGCTTGTGTTGCGGCCTATCGCTGTTCTCGGTTGTGCTGCGGCGTTTGCGGGCAAGTCTCACTGCTCCGCAGTGGCCCGCCCCGCCGTCGCCCCACCATGCCCCATTACACACTGACGACACTAGCGAGTTTCATAGGTGAGAAATGGAGGGGGTATTAGGAAGAAAATGCTATGAACTGAAATTGATTTTAACGGGATCCATTCCCACCGGGTCCAACATTTGTCTTATTAATTTTAATTATTCTAAAATACGTTGTACTTTGGCTGGAAATCTGGATTTTATACGGTTGTAGGAATAACGAAATTCTATATAAGAAGAGTTGTCGAGTGCTTTCCCCCATTTCACAAGCACTCTTCCAAGTTACTTCTTTTCTTCCTCTTTTTATAATGTAGTCAAGCTAATATTAAAGTTATTTATATCTTGTGAAATAAATTGTTTGAGTTTGAGTTTATTATACATAAGTTTTCCTATCTTTTACAGACTCTGGTCGGCTCTGCAGTTCCTATATTGTATCCCGGTTGGCGAAACTCAGTTCACTGTTGAGTAAGTTTTTCTTCTCATATTCGTGACGCTAAACTCTGTTCTGAAAAGTTTAAAAGCCTTTGTGCCTTAACTCTATGGCTAAGTTCCAGAATTCGCTACAGGTTTCGAATATCAGCTTCAGCGCTATCCATAAAAAATAATATTTGTTTGGTTTAGATAATTTCAACTAGTACCTGTCTTTAAAATAAATGATAAATTTTGCAGAGAGCTCTTCGGCGAAGGCCTCCACTGGGCCGGGTGCACTATAATAGCTCTGCTAGGGCAACAGAGGCGCTTCGAGGCTTTGGACTTCTGCTACCACATCCTCAGAGTGCAGAGGGTAGACGGAAAAGACGAACTGGTCAAGGGAATAGTAAGTATTGAAAGTATAACGCGAAATATAGTTTTTAAACTTATTTATAAATTATGTCGTCTCCATGGCTGCTGCAAAGCATCCGATCCGAAATCAGGCCGTGGTTGTTATAATGTGTAAATAAGTATACCTAATATGTTTCGCGTTTTAAACCGTTAAAGTTTAATTTAATCAGCTCGCGTAAACTATTGCCAGTATTTACGAACGTTCTCGTCACTACATTAGATCGGAAAGCATCCTATAATATATATTAACTATACCCGTTATATTTAACTTTAAAACGTCTCTCCCCAGCCGTTAAAACGCATGGTGGATCGTATCCGTCGTTTCCAAGTGCTGAACTCGCAGATATTCAGCGTCCTAGCTCGCCATCTGGCGGCGGCAGATGAAGACCGAGCTGGTGTGGAACATGTGCGCTGCTTCCCACCACCATCCACCTCACACCACACCATTAACTGAAGACCATACACCGTGTAGACTACGAACAACTAAAGACTATCTACACATATGAACAAGTATAAACCGTCGTACATTTTTTTAACTTATAAACATCAACCAGACCATATATTGAAACATTTGACAAATATCTTTGAATGCTGGACCAATATTGTCGAAATGCTGGGGGGGGGGACACACGTGTATTGGTCTCGGCTTGAACTAACATAGCGTGGACCTGAAGGTAACTGGGTAAGGGTAGCTTATTATTATAAGAATACTATTTGTTCTAGCAATATTGTAGATTCATAACTAAGCGATACCCACCCGTAAACACGAACACATATGATCTAATTAGTTAGATATCTATATTCCATTAATTTATAGTACGTGGATGATTAGGTGGAGTGATGATGATAGACTTCCGTCATAAAAATGTCGTAGATAAATTTACACTGAAGTATTTGATGAATTCTTGCAATAGGAAATATACATGTTTTAATTGTAATCGATGACCAAGCGAAATGAAATTTTTGTTAGTAAAAGAACAACGATTTTTGATGCCCATTGTTGGCCCAGGGGCTAAAATTCAACGAGAGTGATTTATAAATATTTCAAAAAAGGTAACATAATAGGATCGGAGCATGAAGCTGGGAAACATCTGTTCGTTAAATAGGCTCTCGTGTAAAGATCGATTAGTATTCTTAAATACAGGTGCTGCCAGAGATAAAATTAATTTTCATCGCATTTCTTGAAATAGATTTTGCAAGTTGAATTCTATCACACTTATGTTTGAAAATCACGACATGTCCTTCTCAGTTATCCATGGTTGCCCTTCGTTCTATAAGCAGATGTTTTTCTTTTTTGAAGGAGAATTTTTACGCTAAGTGTAAGTGCGCCCATTTAAATGAAATTTTTCAAATATGCCCAGAACGTGCCTAGCTAAATTCTATTGAAATGTGATACGTCTGGCAACATCCTGTATATTCTATTCCCAAAACAAAACACTCATTCGTGTTGAGCAAAAAGTCTATCAGAGTCATATTAAGTTAGATAAGGCACTAGTTTATAAGGATTTTATATTATTTTTATGTAATACTATTAATATGAAATATGTCTACGAATGCAATTATTTGAAACACCATTTAGTATTATGAAATTGTATTCCAATGTATTCCATGTAATTTTATTATCAAAATAAATTATTACACATCTTTTAGGAAAATATGGCTAACGATTTCGTACCTAGCATTGTGCAAGATGATTGGAAGCATAATATTAAGATCAAAATGTAACTAACATGAAAGTGGGGGGGGGGGGGGGGGGAGATATGTTGTGATCTCTCTTGGCAGTCTCGTTTGGTGTCTTAACTAATAAAAAGAAGGGTTACACTGTAGAATTTTGAAATTGTTAAGAAATAATTTTCCATGAATTTATGTTAATATTGGTATAAATTATAAAAGAACAATATACTACATAATTAATAGTCCGAATGTCCAAAACCGAAATGGGTCGACAGCGCACAATATTTCATAAATAAAAGTCCATTATCACGCTAAGCCTTTAATAAAAAACTTAATTAAAATGCGTTACCCGTCGCCTAAATTTACTTAAATTACATATATTTTCATCCTTGCAAAGCGATCTAGCTTATTAAAATATGCACCATAGATTAAATATTTTTTTTCAAGACAACACCTTCGGTGTGGCGTTTTTAAAGTTTTAACTAGCAACACTAAATCTGTATAGACACACGAAAGTGTTGTCATTAAAAAACGTATTTTTGCCGACACAAGTGACACAATGCTATGGCTTAATAAATTTCTTATAATCTAAAAGACCAGATGGGTTTTCAAAAAGGGCTGATCTTTCAAATTTTGTTTTCTAAATTGGACATTATTAGAAAAAAAAGGATTTTTTTTGTTGTTTTTTTTGTGTTTTATAATGTCCATTTAGAAGTTATTTGTACTTGTGAATTAGACGACCGGACAAAATATGTTACATACAACAGTTTTTTAACAAATTATCCTAATCTAATATTATACATAAATAAAACGCCTAAAGAACAAATATATTACAGTTAAAAAAATATTGCAACGCGACCAATTTTTAAAAATTTAGCTTCCTAAATCTTCTTTCTTGCTAAATCGAATCGCTTTTTACACTGGCAACACTGTTCAACTAAACAGAACCTAATCGAAAATGGAATAGCTTTATCTATCACATCAATGTTATTTTTACATTAAAGCGATTGTTGCTTCAAATACACCGAAAAGGCGGGAAATTAACCAGAACAAAGATGGATTTTGCTTACACACAAACTTTCTTGCAAAGAATGTTCTGGATGTGAGAATTTGCCACGCGATTCAAGGTATTAAATTTTGGTTAATTTAAACTATAAGTATGTTAAATCACATTATTCGTATTAAAATGCGCTGAAAATCTCCCTCCCAACATCTGCATAAATCGATTACTGTCCCCTTCTAACTTGGAGAATTGTGTGTGTTAGAGGAGGACAGCGCTATGTTATAAATTGTTTCAAAATTACCTCTATACATGAAAAACTGGTAAATCTTACAAAGACTTTAAGGCATTCTGTACAGTTATTGCTTATTATCAGGTATTTGTCATTTTATAAAAAATATAAAACGCGAAATGACAACTGTAAACTGCAAAATGTGACAATTGACAAGAAAGAATTAACATTATTAGACACAATATTCAGTTATGACTTACAGAATAGTCTAAATAAAAATGACTTTCCCTCCTTAAATTGATTTACAACAGTGGAAAAACTCCCTACGTGTTAAATAAACACGTAAATAACAATTAAACATACTTTTTCAGCGAAATTAAATAACATCGAAACAAATGCCACATTTGACAGAAACTTGACAGCGACAGCTGTCAATTGGAAATATGTCACTTTACAAAACTATTTATTATCTATAGGACCTTGTTAAGTACATAGATATCGGAACTTTTATCGATTCAAAATGACAACTTATCCAACGCACAGAGGTATTCAATTAGAATATTGTTTCATATTTTGCTGACGCTACCACGGCGAGAGGAAGTGTCACTCGTAGCTTTTTTTTCTGTCCATATCGTCTTCCGGCCTGTTTATGTTGTGGTCTGTAAAAAAATAAGCTAAATTAAATATTCTTCTTATTATAAGAATATGATATACAAAAAAGTGTTGCTAAGTTAAACTATTTGGGCTACTATTTTTAATCACCTTGATGTGGGTTCATTTTGGGCACCAGAACAACGTTTCCATCTGCAGCCTGCTGCAAAGAGTATTGAGCTGACGATAGCGGTCTGCCTTCTGCATCTCTCAAGTTCTGCGGACATACCAACATTGATAAGACTTTTACAACTCAATGTTAAGTTTTTTGACTTCCCTCCACCAGTTTGGAAATGCAATGAAAATAGGTACCCATTTATTACCTGTTTGTTAAAAGACAGTGTATCAAAGATACATAGTTTGATTTTATTGACCTTGTCACAGTGCCAACGCTTTAAAAATTAAGAATATTACTAAAAAAATCGAATTTCTTTCATTGCAAGTAATTATATAAAATTTCTATTGGTTCTTAAATAAATCCCGTTCCCCCCTTGGCTCATAGAGGTGAACACGTTTTTGTGTCCGTTTCACGGTTCGGTTATTTTATAGGCAATAATTCACAATTCTGTGCCCTGCCCGACTGAAAAAAAATATTGTTTCCCCGGGATTCGACCTGGGGCCTCTCGCGCTTAGCACAATGCTGGGCCTGGTGGAACTATGGGTTCACAGTTATCTTTCGGTTTAAAGAACATATAGCTACTTAAACCTACAATTATTAAAAACCCACTGTGCGGGTAGTTTTAAATAAAATATTGCTATATCTATCTCACCTGGAACACGTGCCTGTAGAGCGCCGCGAACCTCTCCTTGAGGCGTTGTCGTTCGGCGAGCAACGCGGAGTGGTCACGTTGCGTGTGGATCTTGCGGTCGCGCACTGTACGCACTTCGTCCGCGAGCGACGTGATCTGGTCCAGCTTCCGTTTCCGGCAGTTCTGTGCTGCCACCTGGTGGAAGAATTCATAAATATGTAACCGGAACTACTATATTGAATGTAACGGTACAAAACGCAAAATATATTAGTTAATATTTCGAGTTTAATAATGTTTTATTTAAATGTGTACTCGCGTAAACTATACTTACTATTATATAGTATTTTGTTTTTCTTTTTCGGTTGGAAACAAAAGAAATAATTTATATTTTGATGTACATTTACTGTATCAACAATTAACAACGATTAAAAAAATGTTTTCCAGTGAAAACACTTGTTAGCAATGTACTCTTATTTATTCGTATGAGTGTTTCTTCTTCACGCCCCAACCGAGCAACGAAAAAGATTAATCACCTTGTTCTTGCCCCTGCGCCGGATGTCTCTGATGAGCGAGAGTTGGGCCTCGCTGAGGTCGTGCTTCGAGAGGCGCTCGTTGAACTCGTCCATCGGCAGGTTTATTATGTCCGACACCTCCAGCGGGATGCCTGGTTCACAAACATTTATATTAAAAATAAAACGGTGAAGTGCGAGTCGGACTAGCGCAATAAGGGCTTAGTAGCATAATTTAAGTAGCTATATGTAAAAATGACATTTTGTGTTCAGGATCCCCCACTCAATGCGATTTGTGATAATTACAACTCTAGCTATCGCCAGTCGGTCCTTAAAATACAGCGGTAACAGACAGACAGTGAAGTTTAATTAACAGGGGTTTTTTTATACCAATACTAATTTAAGTCAAGAATTTGGAAACAAAAACTTAACAGAGTTAATCTATTTGTCTTTAAAGCTCTAGCGTTAAATATTAATCTAAAAAATAGAAAATGTGTTTGTTTGTCTGTCTGTACTTACCCAGTGCCTTTGCCCTTTTCTCGTCTCGACTCAAATGTCCCGGTGACCCATCAGAACTACTACCATCTGTCAGACGCCGCACTGCAAACAGACAAACAAATTCATTAAAGACGTATTTAAAAAATTAACATCGAAAAAGAACATACGATTTATTGTGAATAAACTTTAACTAATTGATGAAAAAGTTACCTCTTTTGTCTCTAACCGGTTGCCGGTGGTCCGGGGGCGGCAGAGGCGCGCTGTAAGTGTGGTTGTGACGCACCCTCTCCCCGAGCAACGGGTAGCGATGCGTCGGTGCAGGTGTTGTGTTACTCTGAAGATGAATTATTTCATTTAGTTCGGGGTAGTTATACACCTGCACTAACTTTGATTTTGGTATCTTTGCATTGCTCAGCTAATAATTAACTTTCTAATGATTTCTTTTTCTGACAGACGTTGGACTTCGGACATTAAATGGATAGTAGGCATAACGAAATTCCGTCCATGTCAAGAACTACCCACATATGAAAAAGCCGTCAAAGTGTGGTCGCGTTTCGGTTTTAGTCTGTGGGTTTTATAAAACCAATATTGGTTGACCGCGCATCCTGTTTAAATGTTTAAGGCTGAGGTCCACCTTTCATTATGTAAACCACGTGCTTGTCTATCATAAAGTTAATCGCAGTTATCAGACAAGATATCCCGATAAATATATCGTACCTGCAAAAGAGCGTGGCTGGAGTGGGCTGTGTTCAGGTCCAAAGCGGGCTGAAGTGGGGTCACGTGAGGCCCGGCTATCTGGTGGCGGGAGTTGTACTCAACTGGGGACGAAAATATAATTTAATAATTATATACACTATTTTGTAGGGTCCAAATGAACATTCTATATAAGACAATTATAAGTAATTTTTATTGCACTAATTTTGAGGGGCCAGTTAAATGGTAACAATGAGTGTTCGATTCGAGTTCGATTCCCACCGGGTCCATGTTTCTAAAGAATGTAATAATTTTCTGTTTCACTTTGAAAAACCTAGAAATTCAATGGGTGGTTTTCCTAAATTCCGCTCGAGTCATGAACCACCGTCCACAGATGGAATAATGATGTATCTACGTTTCGATTTCAGTCCGTGGATTTCCGAATGTCTAAAGCCGAAATAGGATGACAGCGCACCTCGTTTAGATATTATAAGGCTGCGGTAATCTTTCATGAAATAAACTGCTCGCCTGTCCTTTGCATTAAAAAATAATGCAAGGGACAGGCGAGCATGCAGTTTAAAAAAGTTTAAAGTTTAACATACCATTGTGCATATGCATGCTGTCGTGGTGGTAAGTCTGCTCGCATTCGTACTTGACGGGCGGCCTTGGGACCAGCGGCTCCAGCTGTGGTTGTTCCTACACAAAAGTATTTAAATTCAGTTTCAATCCGTCGCACCAATAGTTAAATCTACAAACTTAACAGATCGTTTTAAAACATAATGGAACAGAAATCCAAAAGGCACGGGGCGAACATATCTATATTTGTTTCATTGATTTTTAGGTACATATCTATCTATCTTTGACGTAATACGTATAAAAAGTGTAATTCTCATGTCATTTATTTTCATTTCACTTCTTCGTGTACCAACTCACCTGGAAGCATCTCTTTCCGAACATATGATGTTTCTTTTGCGGTGCGAGTGAGTTCCTTTCCCTCGCATAAGCGCCATCATACGGGCGAAACTTGGAACTAAAAAGGAGAATAAATGTTTGAATTAAGAACGAAACAAAACTAACTTAACCTAAAAAAAGTTGGTTGAACAGCACAGAGATACTTTTAAATAAAACACTTTTAACGGTTTTAATGTGAAATGTTTAAGTTAACCTATCTACAATATATTTTAACATTACATTGTACGTATGTTTTGTAGCAGATGTGGTAGGGGGGGGGGGGAGAGCTTAATATGAAGAAGGAAAAGAATAGAAAGTGTTCGTAAAGGAAAATCTAACACGCTAGCGCCATCTGCTTCCCTGTGTCCACTAGGGTAAACTACAACCAAATATACTTTTTTCTGGTGTAGTTTTGAGTCACGCCCATTATTATTGTAATGATTCGAGGTTAGTCTAATAGCATAGATGTAATGGTAAGTGTTGCGGGTTTGAACCCGAAGTTTTATTTATGTCAAGATCTATCGGAATTCGATTTGATGGTCGACACAGGTGAGATTGGAACCCAAGACCTCGCTGTAGTATATTCCATATTCTTTATTATGAATTAAGGTGCGACGAACAACTCGAACTTTCGGATATAGTAGTTTATTTTTGTTTTTTCCTCAATAAGATAGCGCTATCTACTTAGTAATACATCCAATAATACTGATATGTACAATCGAACATTTTCGCAACTGACGTAAGGGTCTGGTGACCAAGATAAAGATCTGCTTTTTTGCCATCGTGTTAAGTAGGTCTTAAGATACGAAACACGGACTTTGTACGCCGTTTGTTGCTCGTGTTTTAAAAATAAAGCGATTACAAGACATATTTTATGAAGAATTTGCAAAAGATACTTACATTAATGTATTTTGACAATTACACGAATTAGATGTCACTTTAGGAAAAATATTGACATTAAAAATTAAACGAATATTTTGCCAAAGATACTTTTTATATACCTGCATAATTTAAAAATTGAAAATAAATTGGAAAAATTTTGGACTCAGGCAGGACTACCAGTGTCGTCAGCGTTCCGTGCTGTTGCTCTACCAATTGAGCTACCGAGTCAGTAAATGTTTTCAATTTATTTTCGATTTTTAAATTATATAGTGCCTTCATGTGAAAAATAATTAAGTTTTCAAATATCTTCACCTGTTTTAAAGTACATACATAATATTTAAAACCGTTTCGTGTTTTATTTAGGAATGCCTGCCTTTTTTTTATTGGAATTAATTCATAATACGTCACGTAAACAATGGCCTCAATATAGTGACTGATAGAAATACTGGTAACAAAGTGGTGACATTTACATCATAATAGTAGTCTTCATACAGACCGTTGACGCGGGAAAACGTAAACAATAAAGGTGTACTTCAAACAAAATTGCGGGTAGGAATAACAAACCAATTTGAAAATAGAACAGCTCTCGTGCAGGTTAAAATGAAAACAACAAAGTTTATAAACACTCACAGATTACAACAAGATAACATTTTATAATCCCCCGATAAGTATAATTTTGCACCAAAATGACTTTCACTTTTGAGTCTACAAGTGAAAATGACTTTACGAAAATGAATGTTTTGCGATAATCTTGATCATTATTGATAATCTGTTTCAATACATAGATAACGCGTGGTTTTGTTTAATTACTTGTAGAGTAGTCTGGCGACTTTTTTATTTATAAAAGTAGGAGTAGTCCTGGAAATTTAGTCGAAACTAATTTAAAATCCAAATACCTAAATTGGTGCGCTGGATAAAATTTGATATACTGTCTATATATAGTTCACGCAAGTAGTACACATTTAAATAGCAGTTTAAAACGCGAAATATATTAATTAAACTTGTTTACAAATTATTCAACTACGGCCCGATCTTTCGAAGACTTTACTACAGCCATGGTCACAATTATGGAATGTAAACAAGTTTAACCAATAAATTCTGTGTTTCAAACCGTTAAAGTGTTAATATATCAATGTCACTATCACGAGTGTTAGTGGTTTCTGTATGATATATATAGTGTGTGCCCAAGAATGCTTACCTGTGGTACTCCTGCGCCGAATCACTACCGTCGCACCATTCCCCATCTGAGAGCGACGGAACCCGCTCCGATCCCATGGACGAGACTGCACTGTCGGACGCAGAGTCGCGTTCTATAATACATATAACATATATATATTAAACCAAATATCAAATTTTAATACTGTAATGACAATTGTTGATAATTACTACTAGTACTAATAACTCCTGACCATAGGTAATGCACGAGTAGAACACACTAAATGAAACACGTTTAACGGTTTAAAAGACGAAATAGATTTGCTAACATTTAATTACGATACGATAACGGATGCGTACAGCAATCGTCACAAATTTGTTCAAATAAGTCTGCTACGATATTTAGCGTTCTAATTGTCACAGTTATTTGATATTTTCTTGAGTGAAAAACTTAAATATCCTACTATAGTAGTAGGTAGTCTTTTACTGACGCTATGGTCTAGCATAAGAGCATCTCTTTGTGCGGGTCGTGGGTTCAAATCGCGGCGTAACATTAAAAATTTCGGTAGGACAGTACACCAAAGTCTCGTCTACTCTTATATAAAATTGATCAGTGAAAAGGACATACAACTGTGTCCGAAGCTTTTCACATATCTTATGATATTTTACTTATCTTACCTGTGGTCATGGGCATGTGTGGGTGGTTTTGAGGCACATGCGCAGTCGCACCATCCAGCATGCGCATCGTGTACATGCCTAAAACAACACGGAGATGTTATGTTTTCATTGGTATAAACTTTTTATTTTATCTCTAAGCCTGTAGACGCTCTGGGCTCACATCACCAAAACTACCTACTATCTTCTTGTAGCTTTTCCCAGCGGTGGGAGTGAAGCCGACTAAAGTTTGTTCGCACGTCACATCGCATGTTGAACGATCTAAGCCTTTAAAACACTTAAAACAGCGCAAATAATCCCAATTTATGCTAAATAAACATTTTTTTATCTACAAGCTGAATGACTCCGAAAAAATGTATTTACCTGCGATAAGATACGTCACGAGGCGAGAGAAAACATGACTTGGCCATTATAATCGGGCGAATGGGCGAGAAGCGCAAATGTCGCGGTAAACGAACGCATCGGATTCTACAGATAGACAATCGGACGTTTCCAAATGTATGCCAGATAGTGTACTGATAGGAAATCGAATTGTCATTTGCGCACGCGCCGAATTAATTATCAATTGTAATCGCCATTTTATTTACAGCTAAGTAATGCCCAGCCGGTCAGTCACTACAATAATTACCCGGGGAAAAAATCGGGTTCGGTACGGTACGGTACAAGTCTGGTCAACACACGTGTATAAATTTCGACGCGCTCATTGGTCTAATGGTGGCAATGTATAGTTAATAATCGTCGTGGGTTGGATCCCGGCCAATATAAAATGGGTGTTAGGGAATATGAAAATTCCGCCGGGTCACAGATCACCGTCCACAAATGAAAGTCGTGAAGCTTAATCGCGTTTCGGTTTCAATCTGGGGTTTTCCGAATATCCAAAGCCAAAATACATCGACAGCGCACCTTTTTAGATAATATTTGTTTTACCTTCATCAAATTATTATTACGCATGTTTCTTCATAACGAAATAGAACAAACAGTAACTTTCAATGATTTTGGAATGAACTACATGGCCAAGAATATGGTAATTTGAAAATCGACATTATGTAGGACTCGGTACTAATTGTTAGAGCAACAGCACGGAACGCCGTGGATCCGTTCCAATCCTGTCCGTTTTTTTAGTTATGAACGTAGGTTTTGGGTAGGATCATAATTTAACCTATTAAATGCGGTCATTGAAAATAGTGCCTACTAAAAACTGTTTATATTTACGCGAGTAGTACACATTTAAAAATTTAAAACCATATATTATTAAACTTATTTGAAAATATTTTTAACTCGCATTTGATTTTAGAGCGTGTCAGGGAACCCGACTAATATATCGTTTTAAACCGTTAAGTTATTATTTATATAATAGTTCTACTTAGAAAGTATGCTGTATTTTTTCTAACTTTACATCTATACTAATATACGAAGCTGAAGGGTTTGTTTGTTGTATGAGAGAATGACTCCTCATTAAATGATCTAAAAAAAGTCTGCGACGCAATATGTCTGCAGGGTTTGGACGTTTGGCAAAAAAATATTCTTAAATATGCAACAGCTAGTCATTGATAAACGAACGCAAATAAAATATAGTAATTATTGATATTATTGCATTGTTACATAGAAACGTACTTAGTAAAGAAAATGTTAAAGAACTTGTGTGGATTTGGCCTATCAGGGGCTACAGAAGATCAGTCTCGGGACATTAGTCCCTTCTGTATTGCTGAAGAGTTTGTTTATTTGAACGCGCTAATCTCAGGAACTAGGTGTTCGAATTGGGAAATTATTTTTGTGTTAGTTAGAGCGTTGATCGAGTGACTAATAGAAGCGAAGACACAGCGGGAAATGTGGGAAATATTTCATCTCTGCGGGTTTCTGATGCGTCCGCTGCAAAAACACTATGTCTATTTTTTAAGATTAACTTGCAAGAACGACGGGACGAGACGGATGTTTGCAAAAACAAATTTGGATTCTCAAAACAACTATTCTAAGCCGACGAAGACGCTGACTCAGCTAGTCTAATTATACGAGTGTAATAATTTATTTGCAATTCTTCTTATATATTATTATATGTAAATGTAAATCTTGGGTTGTTTCTGAATAAACGTATTTTTGTCCTATAGTCTAGTTTGGAAATGCTTTTACCCACTGAGTGTGGGACTTCAGCCTTTCTGTATGGGAGCCTTAACTCTCCTAGAGTCTACCACTAAAACCAAAGAGCTAGATAGAGTTCCCGAGAAACAGAGCACGGGGTAAGAACCGCAATGCGCAATTCTAAGAAGCTCGGAACACATGTCTCCAAAACTCAGATAAAACCTACGGCAACAGTTATCGTTACAACGGAACTGCGCTGTAACGAAACGTTATCGTTACAAATAATTGATTAGAGTGTGTATCTTGTTATCTGATAATTTTTAATAAATAAACATTACAAAGTCTAACACAGGACAAGTATTCGGTGATCAAAGTGGTTTGGCGACGCTGAACGAAGTCGAAGCGAGATTCGATTTCATTCAATTTACGATGTCGTACTATACAGTCGATTATTTCTATAGGTAATTGGGTATATGAAAGTAAGTAAGGGCTCACTTATCTAATATGGTAGCAATGTATGGCTAATCAAATTTATCCACTCTGTCTGAAATTATGCATTATATGGGCGGTAGGAATGTCTAGATCCCGTCCGGGTCGTGAACCAACGCCCACATATAAGCCGTAGATGTTAAATAGATAGGCTATTCCACCTACCATCGAGTGCACCTCATGCTTGACTGTTATACTCTATTATAAATAAGTAAAACTTTTAATTCAACTAGTTTGCTAGTTGATTAAAATTTTAAACCAAGGCTGTGAAACGGACGAGTACTGACAAAGACCTTCCATCTTCCTTGACGTATCGTCAAGTTTTTAGCTTACTTTGATTACCTAATCTTTGCTTTTACTAACGTATTGTCCAATATTGGGAGTGGGACGTGTGAAGTTAATTTTGACTATAAGATACGAGCCGATAAATAATAATAAAAGTTTCAAATCTGGCAACACAGCCATTGAGCGACAACTGTTTGCCTACAAATAATAACTGTGTAGTGTTTGTTTGTACGTTTGTGTACTTTAATTGTTTTATTGTTTGATATTTGAACAAGTTATCGTGGCGTGTTAAATATTCCGAATGACATGTCTGTTATGAGGTTATAACGGCCGTTACATTGTCGTTACGTTTGAAATTTTCTCGTTTAAATTAAGTGGAATTTATTATTTCTTTTTCTAAAAATTATTTGTATATAATAAAACTAGCTTATTCAAAAGGATAGCCTTATAGTTTTCGTGTAGCATTTTCAGATCAGTCAGTAATGACTTATTTTTTTTAATAACAGTATTTATTTGTCGTTTTAACGTGTATAGGAAAATCAGGTGGGCATGTAGTTGCAGGTTTAAATATGTTTTCTTATTTTGATTTATTTTTGGAGATTTTTTTTTATGGTAATGTCGTTTTTATAAAAGAATTCATATTGATAGATATTCGAATTAACAGTCTTCAAAAGCCTCGGTGGAACACATTTCTAACAAATAAGACATGTCGTGAAGAAGATTGTATCTGTCATTTTGTAAGAGAATTGAGGGTAGTAACACAATAGCAATAGCTACATTTTAAAGCTCTACACAAAAATGAATACTAGGGTTTTGGTAGAATTGTTGATTCCCACGAGGTCGAACATTTTAATCATTTTCTTCGTTAGACCTTACTAGAAGGTAGTTATGACTTTGACGTTAGAGCCCGCCATTTTTTTCCCTATGGCCACAGCGTCTACAGTGCATACGAAACGTTGGGTCATGAAACTAAAGACTATAGGCGACGGCATTTGTTATATGGGTTAAACCTTGTCCTGTTTCACCAACATTCGTCTGATGGGGACCATATTAGTAATGATTTTGGACACAACTCGACTTGGTTCCTTCGTATCTTATCATACAAAATACTGATCAAAGTGCCAATTTTATTTTGACGTTTGGCGAAAATCCAAGTATGTAGTCAAGCGAAGAAAACGATAAGATAGACCATGGTGATAGTATATAAGTATCTTTAATTTTGTGGTTGGACTTTGACTACAATTCTCGCGATAAAAGGTTGGATCACTGTCTAAAAATAAGACTGAGGTCAGGTCGCAAGGCGAGTAATGAGATTAGTACATTTTACGCGACTAGTACATATAAAAATAAAACACTATTAACGGTTAAAAACGCGAAATATATTAGATAAATTATATTTCGGCTGGTGCAAAGCATCCGAAACAATAAGCCGTAGTTTAAATAAATTGTAGATGAGGTAACTAATAGAACTCGCGTTTTAATCTGTTAAAAATGATTTAATTTAAAATACTTACAATTCATTTTAAATAAGACCGAAAGTTTTGGATGCTTTACCCCATCCAGCGTGGCTTTTAAGCCAGATAGTATTTTAATTCCAATATATAGACTTTTAATTTTATGAATGAAAATCTGCCTTTGCATATTTCTTTCTGGTACCGTCGCAACATAAAGTTATTTAATTTTATTTAATAAAAGTTGTTCCGAAACTTATTGACTGTTGAAATACAATTAATTGTGTAACGAATTTTGGCGTGGCCATTTTGCTAAGCTATTTGGGTTTGACGCTTGTACAAAAACCCTATACTTTTTTTTTTATGTTTAGTAATAAGTGTAACATGTGTTTTTATGTGCCCTAGTAGTAAATAAATTTTTCTTTCTTTCTTTTCTTTCTATTTCTAACATATCCATTTTGAAAAGCGAGATTGTAACCATGGTAGAATATTTGAAATAAGTATATAATGGTACCGGGTGTGGGTACTTAATATGTACATATAGTGTTACGCAACCTTTTGCCTACTTATGTAAATTTAGTTTATTAATTTATGTTTCCCTAAAACTTACCATCATAATATTTGTAGTAATTAAAATATCCTATATCGGGATACAATATCCTACTGTAGTACGGTGACAGAGGATAGAAGTTGGTATACGGATAATATGGCAGATTCATTTTTAAATCCTAAATTATCCGAACAATCCCTGAGTATTCTTTACTTATTATATTAAGATATAATCGAGTATACACCCTTGTAGGTGACAGCAGGTATATTTCTGTGTCCGTCTCCTCTACGGCCTTATAATCCTCCAAATCTCGAAATTGCGCGGGAAATTTCCGAGCAATTACAAATGTATTGTTCTAATTCCTCCACAAATATACAGGTGACTTTGTGTTATCACCTCGACTCGAAATAGCTCACGATAAGACGGGAGCCGTGTTCATTTATTGAAGTCTCTGAATTTGAACGACCACAGACAATAATTGTACGTTTTGAGTACGTAAACGGGCACTTTGGTGAGCGATTCACAGGAGGTTCTCGTCTTGCGTAGGGCGCAGCATATGACACACATGCAACCGCAGTTATATTTGTTGTGCACTTGTCTGCACATCCTAGGTTCACGCGAAAAAAATGGCATGTGGAGGCCGTTCACTGACAGACGAGACGAGAGTACTATATAAAATACAAACAAAGAGTTTCTTAAAAGAAGACAGTTTCTAGCGCCAGAAAAATCACAGATTATACAGATGCAAAAATAACGACGCTCGATAAACGAAAGTTCAAATTTGGAATCACTTGATCTTCTTCACGAATAATCTGTACACGTAAGAACCCATTTTGCCGGAGCACAGATAATAACTAACACTGACAGCGCGCGGATTCAAAATGGCGCCGCACCGCGAATTACTTATCATAGAACAAATAAGCATATCGGATTATTTATTTAGTATTAGTTAAATGTTATTTACGTTTCGTTTCGCGTCGTGCGTCCATCGCACCGGCGCGCTTTTCGACTGTCGTAAAAACATTATGTCACGCTAGGTCAAGTTTTCGAGATAAAACCGCGATAGTGTATCTATTGTCAGCGCCGATTACCGAGTTATCGCGATTTATAGTAGTTTTCCTCGACTTTACACATAGAGGGTTGTGTCTGTGTAGCTCCTAAACTGCTGAGCCGAATTTGATTAAACGAAAATCAACAAGTGAATCTCACAAGATGTGTGTGTGTGCGAAATGCGTAGTTATTTTAACCTCACTACAAACACACAAAGTTATCATACATATAAAAGAATGTAAATTATAAAAATAAATTTACACACTGATATATTTATTTGATAAGTCTAATGTTACTGTTCAACATGTTATTTATATTATTACATACTAAGTCTGCAAATACATTTTAGAATTTAGATAGTGACTTTAAACAAGACATTTTTACGTTTTTCCCTTCTCTATAGCAGAGGAAAAAAGAAAAAGATTCAGTGTAATTAGATAAGCATGATGTTCTTTAGATGGACGCTACCTACAAAAATTCTGTCCACCTAAGTATTTTGGCACTTTCAGAAACTCACGTATGTGACCGAAACTAAGGTCCTGCTAACATTGTATACGGTGGCGTAGCTATCGTAGGGCCAGGCGGTGCCATGCACCAGGGCCTTAGAACTTGGGGGCCATCTAACCTCAACAATTTTGGAGGTCCTTTTAATTCAAGCTAGAGGCTAGGCTAGAGAGCACGAGGGCCCGATTCTTTCTTAGGCCCTAGGATTAGGTAGACCGGGGCCCTTGTCAACTTAGCTACGCTACTGATTGTATATCCAGATTTCCCAGAGGAGGTCAGAACACGTTGGCACTGCTAGAAATCGAACCCGGAATTAAAAATAGAACGTGGGTATAAAAATATAAACCTACCTTCATTCATTGCCATATCCATGAGTTGTAGATCTTCGTCGTTCAATATGGACTGTAGGAAGCCATCTTGATTTGGCGCCATTTCCGATGTAGAATTCTATAAAAATGAATTATAAAAACTTTACTAAACCTTCGTGGCCATTTTGAAAGCTACTTGTTCCAACGTTTTTTACGATTTCCGAGTTCTATGGTCGTTGTGGTTTTTTTTAAGATAGAGGGGGCCAGACGAGCATGAGTTCACTTGATGGTAGGTAAATAAACCAACTAATATTAATCAAAATCCGCTGTCGACCGAATTTGGGCTTTGGATATTCGGAAATCCAGACTTTTTCATTAGAACGATGGTTAGTGACCCGAACGGTATTTCGATATTCCTACCATCCATTTAATATCCAGATTTCCCCACGATCCCCTCTCCGTAGTATCCCGGGTACGCTGGGGCACCTACCATTAAGTAAAACCCATGATCTTCTGTCCTCGAAGAATATAGTTTTTTAATGTTAGACATTAAAAAACTATATTCTGAAACTTTGGTATATAAATATATCAAATTGATTCAGTAGTTTTTTTCAGACAATGGTATAGCTGATGATACCAAGTTTCATTGAGACATAGGCAGACACAAATCTACAGTCGTTTTTTGATAAATACAATTAAAAATGCTTGTCATGTACATAATCCATAGTAGGATTTTAAAAGAGACAAGAAAATACTTAAAAATACACATTACTAATAAATATTTTAACTTTTTTTTATTAAAATAAAACTTTCTTAACGGCTTAAAACGCAAAATGCAACTTATCTTTAATTTATTCTTAAAACGGCTCGATTTGGGGCTTTGTAGTCGTGGTGGGTAGGTATATGAGTCCAAAACATGTTTGTATTAAAAAATGGGTTGACTACAAACGGCTGATATCGGTGGAATTTATGGGCATTTTATAAATTATTTAATAAATATAAAGGCTATTTTTAAAACGCGGTAACCGCAGCAGAGGGTAACTAAAATCTTAAAAAGCGAGTTTTAGACCGTCCAAATTAGTTTAATACATACCTGATAATATATGGCATCATGTTGCTGTGGATGGTGAGCCGATTCGACTTTGTATGAATTTTCGATTGGGGCGGCCGCACCTGCAAAATAGTACATTTAAATAAAACATTTTTTAACAGTTTCAAACCAGAAATGTGCTTAATCCCCTCTGAAATAAGTTACCAAGTAATATATTTCACGTTTAAACCCGTTTTCAGCGTTTCATTTAATTAAAGGTTTATCTAAGATGTTGTGTTGTAACAGAGTATTTCAGATTTATGGTTAGGCTTGTAGTACATGTTTTAATATGTTGGAACGCAAAATATTTTTTACTCAATACTGTCGGGTCGTAGTTGTAATAATTTACCAAAATATAGTTCGTCATAAGAATAATAACTGAGAATAAAGAAATATACGACGCAGACAAAAGTTAAAGGTTAATTATTTTTAATTATTAAAAAAAATGAAGCAAACGGGACTCGAAGTCGCGACACTCTGTCACATTAATATTTATCATTTTCATTTAGTAATGGAACGAGATCTAGACACTACAACAAGTGTCGGCTCCCAAACCAACAATTTTCATTGTCCCAACGAGGAAAATGATATCACCTGCCGGAAAAACACAATTATGTTTATCTTCGCGATATCCACTAATCCATTGAGCTGAATCGAAGATAGTGGGATTTTTGACAGTGCTTGTGCGAATATATCTTTTTATCTTATCAACATGATGACAATTTATTTACCAGACCTTCGAGCCATTCTTAAATATAATCAATGTATTATTTGGATTAGAAACAATTTGACTTATGTCGTAAATACTGTCTGTGGTTTACGCGAGTTGCACACATTTAAATAAAACACTTAACGGTTTAAAACGCGATATATATTAGTTAAACTTATTTGAAAATTATTTTTAACTACGGCCCGACGTTTCAGCTGCTCTGCAACAGCCGTGGTCACGGGAAGATTAAGGAGGATGTCTCTGACGTCAAAGAAAAAATTGCTACGCCAGCGCCATCTGTTCCGTCGAAGTTGGTATGTGGCGAAACTGTCCGGGTCCTTGCAGAACTGACTAACTTTACGTTAGACATTACAATTTAAAAAATACCAAATCCTGTTAAGTCCTACATGATTTATTTCATTATCTGTAACCGACCTATTCCTTTGAACATTCGGATATCTATCAAACAAACTCTTCAACTTTATAATATTAGTATAGATGCTTTGGTCGTGTGGAATGTTAATGTTTACTTACATTTAGTAAATGGATACCTACCATATGGTTCTGCAAGTTTTTCGGGGTGCGGCGGAAGCGGCGCGTGCGGCGCGTGGTAGTTCGGCGCGTAGCCAGCCGCCCCATGGCTGTAAAAAAATTGGGAAACTTAATTTTCATCATGGAAAACTTCCAAAATTAAGACCGATAAAGTTTTCGGAGGCAGAAGAGTAAAATACCGTATTTCCCGCGTCATTTCTTCTAGCTTTAGAAATAATTACCGTACAGAGTCGTTTAATATTTTTTCATAATTGAGGACAGAGAAGCATGTTTCACACTTACATTCACTTGATCGAAGGTGAAATGCCTCAGCCATACTGAAACGATATGCGGTCGACCTATATGCTTTGAATATTCGGAAGGGACTTAAACCGAAACTTGATTACACTAAACGGATTTTTCATTTGTGGATAGTGGTTCGTTACCTGAACGGAATTTCAATATTCCTACCAGCCATATAATATCTAGATTTCCAAACGAAATGTAACATGTTTCAGATTTTTTTATTTATTAAAAAAATGTAGGACCCGGTGGGAATCGAATCCAACCCCTTGAGGGTGTATGTTGTAGCCTAACATTTTAATCTTTCTTCAAGTCTTCTACAATAATTCGTATTGCTGTAAAGCTTCTAGAACGGACTTTTATACTGTACTGCGTATATAAGCGAGGTGTACCTGATGTTGTGAGGATGCGGGTGCTGGTGGTAGTGTTGGTACTGGTCCGGTGGTGGCGGTATCGTCAGCAACGATGCTAAATCTTGCCAGCGCTGCTCTACGGACATGGACCGCATCAACGACTGAAAGAGGAAAGATAATCTTCTATTATGCGTATTTCTGGTAATTTTTTTTTAAATGTATGAAGAAAGAAGTAAAAAATAATAGTACGATTAACAGTCGTGGTTGTGAATCCTACATAAGGTCTCAGCACACATATGGGATCGGAAAGGGATCGTAACCGTAACGCCTCGTGCCGTTCAGAATGGTTTGTATTAAACTCTCTACTGCAACGCACACTAATCGGAATCATAACGTAATCGCCTCGCCTCGGAACAGGCTCCGAACTTGCAATTCCCGCGCTTACGGCTCATCGTCCCCGCGCTTACGGCTCATCGTCCCCGCGCTTACGTCTCTCCGTCCCCGCGCTTGCGTCCTCCTTGCTTTATTCATATTGTGTACCCAATATCTTTCGGGCGACGAGGCGTAAGCGCGGTGTCGCCTAGCCGTAGCCGAGTTGACGTACAGGCGCTGCTGATACGCTTTCGTTACGTGCGTACGGTAGGTTGACGCCTGGTTGACAGCGAGGCGAAAGGCGTTACGGTTACGATCCCTTTCCGATCCCATATGTGTGCTGAGACCCCTAAATGTTATAGTGCTAATACTGTATGTAGTTTTCGCGAGTAGTACACATTAAAATAAAACACTTTAACGGTTTAAAACGCGATATATATTAGTTATATTATTAGATACGTCGGGCTGCAGTTACAATAATTTTCAAATAAGTTAACGAATATATATCGCGTTTTAAACCGTTAAAGTATTTTATTTTAATGTTTACTAGTCGCTTTAATTACATTTTATAATGCTATCGGTGGAAGGAGGGGGAGGGTTGGGTGGTATTGATATAAAGCATCTTTTACATCGGTTTAAAAAATGCCAGCTATGTTGTTATAAGAAAATCGGTTTGCGTTTTAAACTTGCGGTAAGAGGGTTCCGTATCTATCTAGGACTCTAGGACAACGGTTGGTACACAAATTTCATATTATCTTATTATAGTTATTTTTCGCTACTATTTCCGCAAAATTCGAACCTGGGACCTCTCGTGCTTATCGCAACAATCTATCTATAAGAAGGTATGAAGACTGTTACTGGTATGTAAAGATTGTACCTGACAGTGCAACGGTATCTTACAAAGCAGGTGGTCTAAAACACTCGTAAAAAGTTGAAACGACGTAAACACATCAAGTCCAATATTTACTCAGCTATCGAACTCGGATTTTCCGGTTTCACTAGAAAATACGATTTTTCACATCACTACGCTATGCTACCGATTGTTTTAGCGTATTTCACTAGTGATGGTTCGATTCAAATATAATAAAACGTACAGGTATTACAGTTTTAACATATACCTTTGTGTGATTTTGTCTATGATGGTTCATGGGGTGAGGGGATGGACACAATTTTTTTATTCATATTGCACAACAAAATAAGAATATAGATAAAACTTATATGCAATAGGCGGCTTTATCGCTAACAAGCGATCTCTTACAGGCAACCTTTATAATTTAGGAGAAAAAAAATAGACAAACCGAGATGTGCAAGGTAGGCGAAACATATTAATACAAATATAAATAAACAATAAATTTAAATATACAATACTGAAAAATAAATATCTAAAAAAAAGGTTACATATTTACTAACTTAAACGAAAGGAATAAATAAAAAAAGAGAAAACAAACAATTAATTATTTTTTAGTGTTTAACCACTACCAAAAAGGTTTTTCTTGATCTCGTTTTTGGTAATACGGCATAGCGTGGTCGAACCTAGGAATTTTACACTTGTTACAAATAGATACTTGTGGGGGATACTACGACGAACGTTAGACTACCATTATGCAACTATTTGTTCATGAAATCCTCACTTTGTAGGACCATGCGAGATAAGTATAAAAATTTGAATGTATTTCCTTCTTTAGTGTAAAAGGTATGCGTTAAAAAAAAAAAGATATCTACCTTAACTGACACATTGTCAAACATTTAGTATCAGTTATAGAGAATATCAAAAAAGATCTTTACGATCTATTACGGTGATGATCTTCTCTAAAAATTGAGGAAAATCATGACTTCCAAGCACTATTATAAAATAATTATTGAAGTGCCCGTCGGTGGTTTTATGACAGACAAACATTTAAGGCTTTGGATATTCGGAAAGCGGAAAAAAAATCGAAATGCGAAATTGCACTTCTCGGCTCTGCCATTTGTAGATGGTTCGTGACCCGGACGGAAAAATTATAAATTGATTCTAAAACTAATAGACTCAAAGACTTCTTCTGTTATTGTTGCTACTATAGAACCAACAAAAACATATATTTTTTTTAATTCTAACTATTTCCTAAATAAAGCACCAAGAGCTGCACCGTTTCTGTTAATAAAATCTCTACAATCCCCAAGTTTCAAGTGACGTAAATTGATCATACGCATAAATATTTAGCTTAAACATCAAGTAGTGACAAAAATGCTTATATCTTTATTATAAGCGAAGATTACTCGAGACATCCGCTACCAAAACCAGTCTGCAACAATATAAAACCCGTTACACTTAAAAAAAAAACACTTCAAGCGCAGTGAAAACGTCATATTGACAGTTCACTTGACACGCCAAAACTTGTCTATGTCATCCTCTGTTGGTCTATTGGCACGCGCAAACGAGAGCTACCGTTCGAAATTTGAATTTTTTCGGATTTCTTTTATTTACTCTGTGGCTTGTTAGGCGCGAATCCGTTGTACAAATATGGCGGGATTGTTTCTATATACACAACAAATGTTTGTCATTGGGCAATCGGTGAGTTTGTTGTTTTACGGTCAAAATCAATAATATTCGCGGATGATCCAGTTTGCTTAATGAAAGCTCAAATTCAGAAGACAAATAAGACGAATCTGGGATCAATTATAGTGCGACAAAACGGCTTTGAAACTTAGTACGTTTATCTACTTTTATAGAGATACTACACATACAATCACTTTGTATAAAATAGTAGCCTGGCATATAAATTATTTCAAGTACTATTAGATCCCTGAGGGATGAGAAATTATTAAATTGTAGTAGTTCATAATTTCTCATCCCCCAAGCTGAAAAAAAAAATGCTCATAGAAGGGTAAAAATTACCGATTCTCAAACCCACATATAATAAAAAATAATGTCTATGTTTGTGCAATAAAGACTTTATTATTATTATTACATAATATGCATGTAAAGTTTCATAAAAATCGGTCGAGCCGTTTCGAAGGAAGTATGGTAACTAACTCTGTGATACGAGGATTTTAAATTAGATGAATACAACATTTGGAGAAAATGCTAATAAGTATCTGTGGTAGTGCTTTCACAAATCGTTTGATAGACACGCGTCAATCGGCACGTGTCAATTTGATCCACAGATACATAATTAATTTCGACCGTTAGCTATACTACTTGTTTGATTAGTTCTGTCAAATAGCTCATCAATGAATATTCAAAAAACTCCATTTATTTCTGTTAACTTGTTTGAGCTTTATTAAAAAGTATTGTCTTTGGTTTACGTGAGTGGTACATTTCAATAGAACACTTTTAACGGTTTAATGTACTCATATTATAAACGTGAAAGTTTATATGTGTAGATGGATGTTTGTTACTCTTTCACGCAAAAACTACTGAATAGATTACAATTAAACTTTCCAATAATATAGCTTATACATCAAAATAACACATAGGCTACAATTTATAAAGATATTATGGGAGCTGTCCAAAATATGACATTAAGTGTCAAGTGACTAAGAAAAAACCTACCTTTCTGCGAGCTATGCGCGATACTAAGTTATCCTAATCCTAAACCCGCGTAGACAAAGTCGCGGACACCAGCTAGTAAAAAATATATTTGTTAACCGATAAACGTTTTCTTTTTAATACGGTCTGACGTTTCGGCTGCTGGGCAACAGCCCCCCTCCACCCGTTACTACGGCAATATTCTCGTTTTAAACGTAAGTATATATACAATATAAACTACCTAATATTATTTATTTTTCATTTAGAAGAGCAGAGACATGCTTGTCTCCCCCTACATGAAAAATAAACTTCACTAGATAATGGATATCTCGCCTATAAAACATTTAAACAGCATGAACTATTTAAAATTCACCCTTTGGATAGTCGGAGAGACACAGGTTTAGACATAAAAGCGAAACTATAGATTTACCCGCCAAATTACCTATTTATATAACCTAACCTACCTGTATGTGTGATGAGGTCGTTACGGTATAGGCCGCAACCGATACGCCAAGATGTCAATGCGAACAGCATATTGTTTTAGAAATGTCATAATTCTTAGTGATTAGTGCTAAGTGAGGTGCATTTATATGTTGCGTGCGCAAAATTGTCGTTCGTACATATAATTTTATAACGCCTTGAAACTTCAAGGTCTGGGGCAAAACATTAAGTCTTCGTTGAAATAAGACACTTTAACGGTTTAAAACGCGATATATATTAGTTAAACTTATTTGAACTACGGCCCGATAATGCGCCAAATACCAACTACGACGAAACAGATGTCGCTAGCGTAACAGTTTTCACTTTGACATCAGAGAGATACTCCATTCTTAGTCTCACCGCGACCGCGACTGCTGCAAAGCCTCCGAAACGTCGGGTCGTAGATCAAATAATTTTCAAATTAGTTTTTACATAATTAATTTACGATTAAACTTACATGACATTTGCACGTCGTATCTGCATATTTATAAGCTTAATTTTAAGATTTTTTTTGTATAATTCAACCATGTGTGTAAATTAAAGCTTAGTTTTGTAGACCTTTTAAATAATAAAAAAAAATTAAAATTATATCGTGTTTTAAACCAATACAGTGTTATAATTAAATATGTGTCCACTCGCGTAAACTACAGACACCGTTTAGTCTTTGTAGAGGTTCGTTTAGCGCGAGACGTCCTGGGTTCGAATCCTTGCAAGGATCAAAAGCACTCGCCCTCCAAAGCCTTCCTTATTCTATTAGTGACTTAAACTAAGTTAATAAATGCAACTGCCAAGTACCAGTTC